GAGCACTGCACATGCCAAAATAATGGCGGTGGCTGTTGAAGGGTGGTAATACAGAGCCCGGTGTACTTACCACCATCACGTTGAGGGCGTAGAAGTACTTGCGGCACCAGTGCGCCGCCTTCGTGACGGTGGGGTCGTTCTTGGACGGGCCGACGATGGAGACCATGGTCCCGTCCACGCAACTGATGACACCGGGTATCCTGCCGAGCAGCCTGAAGCCCTTCTCCGCGTCGAACCTCTCGCTCGGCTTCTCGGGGAAGTGGATCCAGCCACGCTGGACCCCGAGACGACGCACGATAGCGACGGACACGGCGCGGACCGCAACGCTGACTATCTTTTGGTCCCGCGCTACGTGTTCGTCGCTCGCCACCATGCCTTGGAAGCTCCCCGTGCCGTAGAAGCGCAGTGCACACAACACTTGAAGCTCCACAGTCATGACCGTCTACGAGGTACGCACTCTCCCCACCTCCGGTTCCTCGCGAAGTTCGTCGCACAACCACCGCACCACGATCTTGGGCAGGCGGTATTGCTTCCAAAAGATCTCCTCCGGGAGCTCGAATGCATCGCGGTGTTCCCGATACAGCCTTTCTGGCGAAAAAAAAAGCTCTATTAAAGAAAAAGACGAATTGACGAGACGGCGACGCCTCGCCGCCGAAAACATGCTGCCAATGACACCTAGTTCCGAGCAAGTACCTTTTGAAACGTACTCGGTACAAAACGAAACGTCATTTTGTTGTCACGTCCGGTAGCCGACTCCGCCCAGTTTTGCCGACTCCGCCCACATTTTTCTAGGGAAATTACGTCACTTTTGTTTCCAACCAATCAGACGTGATGACGTCACTTCCGTGTACTAAAAAAAGGTACATGTACAATGTCGAACCTAGCTATCCAGGGCGCCCCTAGCGGCAAACTGGTCCATTGCATCGGGAAGCTTCTGCCAGTCGCTGCGTTGGTTGTGCGTTGTAGTGGGTTAGCGATGTAATTTCTGAGATGGCTATTCCGCACTAAGAAAGCCGCAACAATTGCTGCGTGGTCGGCTGCAACAGTACGTCGAATATCGCGCACGGCACGAAGTACTACATCGTCCCTTCGAAGCCGTACGAGGCGGAGTACTGCGCGACCTGGGTGTGACTTGTGCGTCCATACAGGTTAGTGGCGTTTCTTGCCTTCCAGTTCGCGCTTTGTTTAAGCTGCTCACGAATAATACAATTAACTTTTTTTCTATTCTAGAGACGATGGAACAGCATCGACACCGACGGCAAACTCTAAAGTATGCGGCAATTACTTCACCGGAATCGAGAAGCGGAATGCGGAGTTTTCTTTTCTTCATATTGGTACCACAGAAGAAGCTTTCTGGATTCGTAACCGCCTTAAACCCCGTCGGAATCACCCCGGGAACATTGTCCGCTGTGCTGCTCATTGCCATTGCTTCTCCCCGATGATTCTGCACCGGCTACCGAAGAAGCTTTCCGGATTCGTAATCGCCCACTGTCCTCTATGGCGTTCGTTGCTTTTACTTCCCGATGATTCTGCGCCGACGCCACCGGCTACCGAAGGAACTTTCCGAATTCATAACTGCCTTAAATTCCCTCGTTATCACGACGGGGACACTGCCTACCGTGCTGTTCGTCGCCGTTGCTCCCCGATGCTCCCGCGGCGGCTACCGCTAGGTCGCTTCGAACAATAGGCGACTGCCGCGACACGGCCGGCTTGCTCGCTTCCTGTAGAGGCAGTTCAGAACAGAGCTGCTCGCTTCATTTCATCCACTTATGACTTTTTTTTTCAGTGTCTCAGCGCTAAAAACTGAACTAACCATGTCCTCTTTGCAGCTTCGCAGAAAAGTCTCTCAGCTGTGCTTTATTCACAAAATCTACTACCACATCCCCGACCTCAAAACCACTTTGTTATTACCCCCCGACCGAACATCTTCTCGCCTCAACAACGTCTGCACCATCAAGCACATTTCTGACTCTACTAACGCTTTCAATTGGTCATTCCTTTCTCAAGCCATCAGCCACTGGAACAGTCCCCCATCCTCCATTGTCACCATCTTGGACCCTGCTGATTTCTCCTCTGCAGTAAAACTACACCTTTCTTGGCCCATGTGATGGTGTGCGGGGCTAGGCAGATAGGTGAAAACCCTTACGCAGAGCGCCTGCCGGGCCAGACTTGTACGTAGTTCAACTACTTTACTCAAGTTACTGTAGTTTAACTACTTTTCTGGGTAGTTTAGTAACTTTTAATTACATTTATATTCTAGTAATTCGTAGTTTACTTTAACTACTTTTCCGAGTGACTTCCACTCAAATTACAAATTACTTTCTAATTTTAGTGGTTGTTTTGCCTATCAACACAGAAAAGATGTCGGAAGGTCAGCTGATATTTGCAGAGGGGGAAGCATGCGGAGTAGAAAAAGGGGGGATGGGAAGGAAGAAAGTGATTTAGATAGTCCAAAAAACCCCAAAATTTTAACGAGACCCCCCACTGCAACAACATTGCTACGAGGCGCGGGGAGCGAACAGACACGACGCAAGAGAGGTCGAGTAACTGTGGGATTAGCTCCGAATAGTGGCGTTTCTTTGTATTCCGAAGCTCAAGGAGACTTGACGCATTTGAAGAAAGGGCTTGTCCCCGCTTCTCTCCAATGTAGGAATTCTTGCCCACTACAGGAGGTGCACACACTGCTCCTTTTACGGTGCAGGCGATAGAACCCCTAACAACGACGCTCACGCCGGATGGGCTGCTCGTGTATCACTCGAAGCGCGTTAACCCACCCCCGCGCCTGCGTTCACGCCGCTTCGCGGTGACGGTGTGCGGCTGCTAATTACAAATCTATTAACCCACCTAGCCCCCCCACCCCCCGTACACGCCGCTTTGCGGCGTCCGGTCGGCAACCCAAGCCCCGCTGCCCCCCATGCACTTCGGTAAATAGAGTCGATACGATTTAGTTTAGCGATGTTTCGTCAACAACATTCGTTTTTTTAGTGTTAATGGTAAAAAAGAAATGTAAATATCGCCAAATGCCTCGACAAAACAAAATGTTCGAGAAAAAAAATAAAAAGTAAGCCGGCCCCACACCATAAATAGAACCCGGGTCTGACACGTATGAGGCAGACATCTCACCACTAAGTTACGCTACCTCTTCGGAAACTCGCACTGCATCCGCTGCCTATGTTGACGGCGGCAGCGCCTATCTCCAAGCAAGCAAGCAAAACTTTATTTTGTGTAAGGGCCTACGTCCTGGTCTGGACGGCCCGTCCGGCCCATGTCTCGCGGATGGATTCCGTTAGGTTACCGTGTAGCCTTGTTCGTGGGGCAAGGCTCCACAAACCAGCCAATCCGGCGTGCGTGAGCACCGTTGCTAGGGTTTGTATCGCCTGCGCGTTAAAAATATGCCCGCGCGGGTCGGGGGGCAGTGCCCTTGGTATTCCTTGGGCGCCGCCGGCCTGTGTCTGCTCTGCCCAGTGGCGGCCGTTTCAGGGGGGGCAAAACGCATGCCTTGCCCCCCCCACTCTGAGAACTGGGGGGGCAAGTGCCCCCCTTGCCCCCCCCCCCCCCCCGGTTGGTACGCCCATGGTCACGGCTGTCGCACTCCGTGTCGACAGCTCGAGGGCGCCATAAAGCATGTTCTGGCTAGGCTGTATGAAGCGGGCAGCCAGGGCGGCTCGCATTGCAATTGCTGCGCGATTAAACACTAATTCGGCATAACACTTAATTGGCCACAAACAACACCAAACACGGGGTAAAGATCAGTTCAGAACGGGAGCCACTTCGCGCTGCCATTACGTCAAAAGGCCAAACAGCGAGCCAAAGGTGCTCGCCAAAGACCTTCGAAACGCTTGGAACCGGTCGGATCCTCCAGTCCGTACGACCGCAGCGTACATCCGGGACCTTTCTGCGCTCGCCGCTCGTTGGTGCCCGACGCCACTTTGCCTTTCTAGTATAAAGACGTATAAATACGATTGCAGGGCCCCTTTAATTAATTTTTGTGGCGAAAAAAATGACATTTACATTCTCTGCAACGCAGTTAGAGCACAGCTCCCGAGTAGGGGAGGGTATGCTCCTCCTCCATACCCTCCCCTCTTCCCAGTTAAAATTAGCTGGAAAATTGACGCCATATGACCTCAACAACTCATTTTCCCGCTGAATTTAGCGGGGCGATTACACCGACGGCGACGCCGCTACACGCGGATATAGGTGCCCAAGAGCCGGCTGTGCTCCAAAACACCCCGTAATTTTCGAGTGGGACGCGTCGTAGAATACATTATTTTTAGCGATACGAGTTTTAAAAATTCGCGCAGGCTGACCGTGACGATCTAACAATGTAGCAACACTCGAGCCATTAATTTGTGTATTGATAAAGTGAAATCAACTTTTGGTGCAATGTCGGCGCAAATTCCTCCCATTTTGGTGAGGTGCGGCAGGGTGTAGCAGCCTCCAGGTAAGCAGTTAGGCACAGATGACGCAGCAGTCTCAGCACTGCGGGCGTGTGTAGATTATTGCACTACGAGAAACAGTTTAAGTGGGAAACCCACCGCAAACTTCTTGCATCGAAAAGGCACAAAAGTGTGGCGAAGAGAAAATAGATGTTCAAATCCTGTTCAACCGTGCTCTGCAACGCTAAACCGCCAGATGTCACTGAAACCAGGCCAATTCCGACAGTCACCGGGCAGATGCACGCGATACCTCGAACCAAACGTGGCGAGCTAGCGCGGGGAAGAGCATGACGTTGCTCCGAAGGCTGCTGCCATATCCATAATCAATGGACCTAGAAACAGTCATGTGCAGTGCATGCTACAGTTAGCCCAAATACACGGCCAATTTTTCACCATTTTTATGCAATAAAGGTTGCTTACCTTAGTTTTTTGCAATGAAATCTGGGGATAAGACTGCTCTCCTAGAGCTGCTCGAGCTATAGGCGACGTCGTGTTATTGCTAAATGTGGCAAGAGCTGTAAGCCTCCACCGTAGCTGGGAGCACCAACTTGAAGACGAGGCACCTAGAAGAACTGCAATTTATTCAACAAAAGAAGCGTATCGTACAGTGAAAACAAGAAATTGACAGTATGGAGCCTCTTCCTCAACAAAAGCAACAAGAGAGATGTTTCGAGCATCCTACAAACGTTGCCAACGCAAAGGGAATCCCCCTTCGTCCGTTGCTTCTCGCACCGAGCAGAATGGGCGCAGACTGGCTGCGCAATCGAAACGCCGAGAGTTGCACGCGGGAGAAACGCACGCCGATCCGCAAAACCCAACGAAACAAAGCAACGGAAACGACCTACGACTGCTGCTAGCAACACGCACGCGCTTCTTTTCTGCTGTGAAAAAATGTTTCGAAGCACGAGCTTCGATGCAAATTAAAAACACACGCACACGCGCACAAAATGGCAGAAAAGGGAGGGGGACGGGAGGTGGGGGGATAGGGAGAAGGAGACAATCCCACTGTCCTTTCTTCGCCGGTTGCCACGGACGTTTCGTTCTGAAAGTTGTCGTCGTTCGCACGTCCGTCCGTCTCTCCACTACAAACACTCGACGTCCTCCGCCGGCGACTCTCTGGCAGGCGACGTGTGCGGAGGAGAGGTTCGCCGCACGTTTGTTTTCCGTCGTCCCGTGTGACCGCCGACTCTCAGTCCCGTTAAGGCAGTAAAAAGAAGAAACAAGCGTTGGCCGGGCGGTCGTCCGTCCAAACGAAAGACCCGGGACGCCGTTGTTTGTTGTTCTTCCGCTCGTTGCACGACTTTCCACAAACTCGAAGGTCCCGAGGGGCGTTGAGAGGATCAGCGTGGCTGCGATGCATCGCTGCGGCCATTGTTTCGGCGCGGATGAAGACGCTCTAGGGGGGGAGCTACTTGGGGTCCAGGTTTTGCTGCGTGTATTTGCCAACGTTTTTGCTTTTGTATAGTGTTGTCGGGTCATAGTCACCTGCTATGTGTTGTGGGTGTCTCTTTTAGGCTCTCTCTCTCTTACACTCATATGTTATCTGTATGCTTCACTTTCTTGACACGACGATTACTGGAACATACCTGCGACAAAAAAAATATTCACATTTAAAACTTTGTTTTAAACTAGGAAATTTTAGTCGAAAGTAATGCCCCACCTGCAATATCTACGCTAAACAAAGCCAACACTTAGACGTGTTTCTTTCTTCAACTTGCTGGGCTTCCCTCGCTGCTACCCGCCTCGGAAAATGACAACGCACCAATTCAATGTGTAGCCATTTATCGAATGCCACGCTCCAGAAGCCCTCACACATAAGTCTGCGCCGGCCTTTTATTGACGGCAGAGTGCCGCTCCAGCGACCAATTGCACTTGGTCGGTGCAGGTGGCTACGGACAATTTAAAGGGCCACTGAAAAAGAAAAAAAAAGTTTTTTGAACAGTCTAGTTGGGCCTCGCGTATCAAAAAATTTAATTTTACGGAAAAAAAAAAAAAAAAAATTTAGACCAATATTGACAGAGCGAGACGCGATTTGGTCGGTAGCCACCTCCTTCCCACTTGTTTACTCTCAGCATTTCAGGTGCGTGGAGGAGAAGTGGAGAGAGGGTATGACCATCTCGCTGAGGCGGAAAGAGTGTATGACCATTCCGTGACGTCACGGACTTTGCGCGCAAAATTTAAAATAAATCTCGCGCCAACAATATTGCTCTAAAAAAGATTTTTCGCCTTAAATTTACTTATTTCACAGGCGTGTCCCAACCAGACTGTCTAAAAAGAACATTTTTTTTTTCTGTTCAGTGCCCTCACATGCAAGCAACACTTGTGGCACCAGGTTGCCCACAAACTTCTTTAGGTCTTGTCTGGATGTCCACCCACTTTTTCAGGCCCAAATACGTTATCTTCCTCTTTTAAGCAAACTGCCCAATTTTGTTCTACCACTCATTTTCACCCATCTTTTTCTCTAAAGAGGATAGCCAACTGCCCAACTATGTTTGGAAACAAACAAAAATTAAAGTACACCGCACGACAATTTAATGCGAACGAGACTTCGGCACTTTCACATTTTAGCTTGAAAGAGTACCTGCAGGCATCAAAATTTACCGCTTAGGTTAGTATCCCAACTGACCACTTTCCACCACTATACCATAATTTCAGAAACAATCCTTCCATACTAAAAATAAATTAAAAAAAAAACTGACAATGGATCATTTGCGCTAACAGTGCCACAGTATGTACATGTCTGCTGCGTGACACAGTAGGAACACAACGTCGGTGCTTTTGCATGTACTATTACTCACTCACACACATTATTACTCACATACTATATTTAAGAGCTCCACACTTTTCCCAAAATTTTGTGTCCTAAACATTCTACTAGTTATGCTAGTATTTTAGGATGACAGCCCTTCAGCTATAGAAAAAAATTAACAAAGAAATGGCCATCGCTTGATTGCAGTAACTCTCTAGCACTCTGTCACAAATGATGGATAGAAATATCACAGACACATTACGAATGTTAGCGTTAGGGTTGGACAAAGGAGTTGTTACGAGTCCTGTAGGGCTTCAGAAGGAACGGCGAGTTACAGCAACTAAGTTGCACCTCAAAAAGTTGTGATTTTGAAGATGGAGAAAAACAGCACAACCAATTTTTTACCATCAAAATTGCACCAGTGTTCATGGTTATTCAAAGCCATAGTTGTGACCACTTCACTGACAACGATGCACCGTTGAAGTACCGAAGCAATCCTCATACGAACAGGGGTGGAACTCATGACATGTACCTGGGAGCAGCCACTTGAGCAGCTGAAACAGCTGTTTTGGAGCAGGTTGGGAGCAGCTAAAACTACGTTCAGGAGCAGGCTAGGGGCAGCTCAGATCAGTTTTCATTGCACTTTAGCTTGTGTCTTAGATGAGCACGGGAGAAATTTCAATTGTGCTTAGCAACACAGATGAACATGAGTAGTTAGGGACCTAGGCAGATGGGATAAGAGTGTAACAGATGCGAAAACCCGAAACTTTGTGAGCCTTAATGAGAACCAAAAAGCATGAACCATATGTTTCTGAAGATGGTGTCCTTGATATTTTCCGAGTGCTTTCAGCTGCTCAAAATGCAAACCAGCACTACTTATCGCAGAACCCACACATGCTCGACATAGTTATTATATCTGCGAACCACGTGACTTGCGTGAGCAATGGACGTGCAGTTGCACAGAGGAACAGGGCAACAAATTTTGAGTTTATCCTATTGTGCAACTCAATATCGAAGCAGCAGACTACGATGAACAGACTTGTCATATTCAAAGCGATAAGCAGGAGCAAGGTTAAAGTACGCCGAGCAGATTTACTGCTCGCACGAGAGGTGCTGGCCGGCAAGGTTTCAGATCGGACAGCGTTTCAGTTCTATCAAATCGCAATTTATTTTCCGGAAATGCGGTTCCAACTTTTAACGATGAAGTACTAAAAGGAATCTTTTGCTAATGTGCTTTCAACTGGCTCACGTCCGGATTTCGGGCCGCAGAGCCTCAGGCAGTCTGATGCTTTACGACTCGACCTCACCTCGGCCGACTTGCTTAACCGCTTATGATTGAAAAATAACAATCCAGTCACAGGTGGTGTAGCGCTTGGAATCCGAACCCCGAGTTTTCGCGCGCTTCCGACCCGCAAGCTAAACGCACTCATTGTTGCCAATAGAGCCGGTAAAAACCGAAACCAAGGCAAAATACAATTTTTTTTGGTGCACGTTTTGTAATTTGGTGCATAATGGCACGAGGTATTGGCTGTGGCGCAGTTTCCACAACATGGCACAGACAAATGCGTCTGGCACAAAATGGCACAAATGGCGCAGCCGTTCCACCCCTGTACGAACCAAACGAGCAAGTGCAGTGTTCCACGTTCATCTCTCATTTACTTATAAGGATGAAAACATTCCCTGTAGATGCCTTACAGCAGTGCTCCTCAAATGAGGGTCTGTGAACCCTTTAAGGTCCGTGAGCCCTTTGGGGTTCGTGGACCCTGCATTGGCATTCTAGACGTCCCAAAGCTCTGCTTCATTAGTCAAGCCCAGCAGTAAAAGTTTTCTTTTTTCAGATTGAGAAGAAACGTTCCAATTTTTAGGCAAGTTTTCTCATGTGTATATCGATGAGAAAAGTCTGCTTCACACGGTGCTTAGTTACATACATTTATTAAATCATTATCATAATTAACATATATGTTTCCCTTCCCCTCCCCACGAACGGGGTCCTCCATCATCTCTGCCGACCCAGAAGGGGTTTGCGAAACATTAACGGTTGAGAACCACTGCGTTACAGCAAATGAAGAATGCTGTCGAAAAGGGCTTGCAGACTTCAGTTTTTCGTACGGCCGACCAACCATGACCAACCTGCAAAGTTGGTCACAGCTGCTAGCAATATGTCTCTGTGATGCCTGCAAGCAGACGTCATTAAATGTCCAGAAAATGTAACTTCAGGGAGGACACCAGATTCAAAAATCCAACTTCTAAACAAGTTTCCATTTTGAGAACATTTGGAGGATGTATTCATCTCTTCTACAAAATGTTTACCTCTTTACAAAATATCCTCCTCACAGGACAATTTTCTAAGGAGCTACAAAAAGAGGTTCTCCATACTATATTATCTCAACAGAAAGAGGTTCTCCCAGCTGAAAGTTAACACTGTTGGAAAATTTATACTATGAAATTGCTGCAAAAATTTTCGATTTAAAAGGCCCATTCACACACTTGCAACTCCTTAGGCCTTAAAGGAGCTGTGCAACAATTTCATTGCTCTGCTTAAATCATTTGGGAGTTGGTGTTCCGACCTTTGTGAAGTAAAGAACAAAAAAAAAAAAAAAAGAAGCTTTTGCCTGCATGTCCTAGTTTTTATTTTAAAAATTGACTAAGAATGAGGTTTTCAGCACCTCTCAACTCCTTCACTATCTACCGAGTCAAGTGTGCTGCGACGTGAACGGGGTCGGTCAAATCCGTGTGCATAAATCTAGCGATCACTCCTGTCTGCATTGTAATCTGGGGCAGTCATTGAGCACACATTCGCAGTAATCTCTGCACTTTCTATAACATTGGTGAGCCTGCCTCAAAATCCGAGCATCTGTAGCAGTGCACAAGCACTTAGCTACGCAATTCCTGCAGTCCTCCTTCAGAATCTCCTTGTAACAGAGGCACTGTTGCCTCGCCATCTCTGTCACGGAGCACTGGTACACTGCATGTCAAGTTGCTTGAAAGAGCGACCAGTCATGGCATTGGCAGAGCTACCTCTTTTGGCACATCAGCTGGTGCTTTTTCAGCCACACATCGTGATCTTTTAAGCCAAGCAGTTGGTAGGAAGTGGCAGGAAGTGCTGATGACTGCACAGTCCAACAGCGTTTCAAGTTCTACCATAAGGCATACGCTAAAATGCAACGTGCAACATGTTTTGTCGAGAGTTGCACGAACGTCCAGCCAATCTTCACTACTTCCTGCATTAGAAACGGCCCGCATCACTGGTGCAGTTTCCTTCGTACCAGCCATGGCCGCCAGCAATCCTGGAGCACGAATCTCGATCATGAGCTCTCAGTACTATTTGAGACCGACCGGCCGTGGCATGTCCGTGGGAGTGAAGAAGTTGTCGGTCCTCTGCGGCCGATAATGCAACCGCGAGGACTCGCAACAGCACGTGCCGCGAGTTCACTCTACCCAGAGTCCTCGATCGTCAACGAATGTGGACAGTGTGCCTTCTCAAACATAAGCAGAAGCCGCAGCACTTTGCTGAACTCAAGAAGCACAATGCCTGAAGAGCTTGTAGCAATTTCTTGATTGCACACGTGTCAACCAAGAGATGGCCAATGGGAGGATTCACACTTAAGCCACTTTCGCTTGATTGCTGTCGGCTTGTTTTCCTCTTCCGGAAGCTAGCTAGCTTTGGAGATAGAACACCCAGACACCGTTGATGGTGCAACCGGTTCAAAATGAACTGGACTAGGCAATGCCGATTCTCTTCGCACAGAGGATGAAGAGGGTACCACGTTCTCGGGATTCACTTTTCTTCGAATTCGGGGACGTTTTTCCGAAGTTTACGTCGAAGAAAACAGGATTCCCTAACCTCCAGGAAACATACTTGGAAAACATTCCCGTATTGTTGAGATTCTTATGGAAGAAGCAGTTTCGACAGAAAGTTCAGCAGGGGCGGCGTTGAGATCAACACAAAATAATTTTCTGCCCGCAAAGCTCGGGTTTTTCTTATTCAAGGAGAGTTTCCATTCTGGCTTTTTCGGTTTTTATTTCTATTGTGACCAAACTGGCAAGTGTTCATTTTTTGGGGTTTATTGGTATTTACCGAAACTAAGACTGAGGGCCTTGATGGCAGCACAACTCAAGTGGCTCCATGCAAGATCTGGCACAGAGCAAGACTGAGCTCCCCCATACACTTTCTTCATAAATAATTTCGGTGTCAACCTCATGAAGACATTAATCTTGAAACGAGCGATGGACTTGACGTGCCCCTGACGCATGAACCCGCGACAGCAATGGTGAGTGCCACCAAGACAAAGCGGACAAACCCGCGTGGCTCAGCATAAGTGGACCGTGTTTCTAGAGTTGACCCTCTGGACAGTAAGGACAGGCTCTGCATATTTTGCGTATGAGAAAGCCAAATTTTTACAGGGTCTCGCGCGTGTAGTGTCTCCTCTTGCATGAAGGAATTAACTGCAACAAAAAAACAGAGAATGGCTTTTTACGACTGGATACAACCGTCGTTTCAGACCTTGGCGGCGTAAAGGCATGGGGATTCAAAAGTGCTTAATATTGAAGCCCCACAATCGCAAAACATTTCAATTGGTGTCGTTGCCAGGTTAAAACTATTTCTTCGTTCATATTTTGTAGATTGTAATAACACTCGGCAAATGAAACACTTTAATGTTTCAGTTGCCGAGCGAATATTCATACTCGACACGTACTGCGCAAAAGTGAAAAGAGTCGATCAGTTGCAAAAATCTATTAAAGCCGGAATATTTTATTCCCGCAACACTCGCTTTATGACCGAAGCATTCTTCTCCATTGTTCCCGTACAGTACTTGCAATATTGTGATGGGAATCTTCGTCAGAGCCATTGCGTGCCGCCTGGAAACAATGTTCCGCCAACAAAAATCGCTTCACCACTAAGCCTCGCGGCAGAAAGCTCATTCAAACTCAAGGAACATAAGGACACAACACGTCCGGCGGCACTCAGCCAATGGCCGTAGGGAGTGGGCAAATGCCAGATTGCAATAGCTAGCAAACAATAGGTGTACCGGAGCACGACCACAGTCGCCGACCAATCTTTCTGACTCTGAGGGGACCCCGAAACTGTCCAGAAATTTCAGCGGTCTGAGAAATAGGTTTTAGCCAAAATATCAAACTTCCGCACATATTCTTCAACGTTACTGGCCACTTTCCAGTTGCTTGATGTCAATTCTAAGTTCTTGTGCAACTTCCGCTTTATATTATTCACTTCTCATTTGTTTGCTGGTCTGTTCGATCACGGTGCTGCACTTTGTCGGCACCTTCGTTGGCACAAACAGCGAAGTTAAAGCACGAACAGCGAAGCTGAAGTTGGCGCCATTTGGCACTATTTGTAGACAACATTTAGTCCACCAAGCTTGCTTCAATACTAAGCCCATTAGCAAAAAACCTTTGCACTCAAAGACGACAAGAACGGCAGACGGCTGCTGTTCTTGCGGTTGCACTAAAAAAACACGGACCAGAAGAAGAACTGGAAGAGCCATAAGAATGGGCAGACGGCGGCCACGTTGTCTGTAGCGGAACCGGAAAACCCGACTACAGCCTCAACCCAGCTTGTTTATTGCGTAAGACGTGGTATCGAGGCCACAGGGCAAAATTCAACCGACCAAATGGCAGTGACTAAGCTTGCGGCACTATCGCGGCGGCTGTTTTGTGGCTGTAAACTGAGTAGATCACGCAAATTATGCCAGAAATATCGAGCAATAAGCTATATTGCGTCCAAAATTTTGGTAGGTGTTATACATTAACTCTATGGGTAAGTGAGAGTTAGGCGAAAACGTCAGAATAATCAGACATGTCCGAAAAATTGGTCGGCGACTGTATAGGCTTAATCGAGGTTGTCTATCGCGTAAGACTACGAGTAACATATGAATGTCGGTGGTTTAGTGGACCCAGACAGCGCAAACTAAGTTACCAAAGTAACGAGTTGCAGTCCGAAGCTTCTGTCGCTCTTCTACAACTCTATAGGGTGAGCAACGGTCCTGCAAAGACGTCCCCAGAATCGAGCATGTCCGAAGTTTCCGTGTCCGAAAAATCGGTCCGCGATTGGAGTTGGTAACCCCAGTACACAAAAACCAGATCGTTTTCTGCAGTAAATCGTTCTTTCGATAGCATGTCCCCCCCCCCGCCGCAAAGATCAGATATGCCAAAGACAAACCAAGACGAGTGAAGTAAAAAGTGACTCACCCTAGCAACAATTCATCACCCTCTTCTCCGGGGGCAGTACCCTAAGCCTGTCCTGGTTTTCCGCCAAATCCTTGCCCGCCATTTGCTGAAAACGAGAAAATGAACGAGACTGGTCACCTCGGCACTTCCAACCCACCTGGGAGAAACGTCCCACATAAAGGCCCACACTATGCTCTAAAGCGCAGTTGTCCTCGTGGACCCCACCTATCAATCTGCATTAATTAAATGCGAGCGAGCGTGCCAATTTCTCAGTTACCCCTACTCTATCTCAGCTAGCATAGACCATGCCAAGTCTACAGGTACCTCAGCTCTACGATGGACCGTTTTACTGGCAGCATAGAACTGGCACGAGCAGATGATGGAGGCAATGTAAGTGAGTGGGCGAGGGTAATTGTGCAACCCTCTATCCTCAACGTCGTACGGTAGATGCTGAGAAGCAAAAAGGAGCACAAGGGACATTCTCATGACTTGCTGCTTGCAAATGCGCGGCATTTTGGAATTTTTGCAATTGCACTAAGGCACTCAGTTGGAAACTTTTGGAACAAAGGCGGAAACACCTCTCGTCTTAAACTTCCAGATAATCTTCCATTTGGCAACATCGGTAGAGATAATTCTAAAATATTGGCAGCAACATTTATCTCCAAAGTCCTACGATGCAGAAATTGCAGTATTTAATGTGCGACAGTTTAAAATTATTTCGTAGACAAACCCGTGGTTTCGGTGAGCAAAGGACCTTCATTTTTATCAACTTCCCCAGTACACTGAGTGGGGAATTCGCTGCATACCGTAGAATACCGCGCATCCCCCCATTCCACATTAAGCGGCCATATCCAAATTTCTAAGATATGAAAAAATATGCACAGTACATTTATACGTAAAATTGATGACCGGACAAGCGCCCATCCCCCATTTTTTCGCATATATCTCTAAATTTTGAGTGGGCGCTTGCCCGGTATTTTATAGTAGGTAACATGGCGCCAATGTCTCCGCAAAATTAGCGTAGGAACTAAATTAGAATACAAGTCATATGTGGTCAATTTTCCTGCTAAATTTGGTGGGGAAGTTTTATTAATGTGTCACGCATCGTCAGGCAAAGTGATGTCAATCTCCCCGCTAAATTTAGCAGGAAAACCGAAGGTGTTCAGTCCATGCGACATTGATTTCCATGCCAAATTTAGCAGGGGAACTGAATAGGCGTACAGGTCACGAGGCGTCGGAGAAAGTGACATCAAGTTTTTAGCTAAATTTAGGGGGGGGAAGTAATTTGTTGTACAAGTCTCGTAACAAAAACACTCGAGTCACGTGACATTAAATTTCCCGCTAAATTTAGCGGGGAAACGCTAATTGGTTTATAGGTCACGTGACCAATTTTCCCGCTAAATTTAGCGGGGAAACTCAATTCGTGTACAGGTCACGTGACATCAGATGAAGTGATGTCAAGTTTTTAGACTAAATTTAGCAGGGAAACTAATTTGCTGTACAAGTCTTGCGACATCAACATTAGGGGTTCTATTAAATATTGTTTTGTGCTTTAATACGTCGTGGCACTTCGTAACGTTTCACGAAGAGTCACTAATAATAAAAAGATCAGAGAACCTTCTGCCCGTACTGACCTACTAAAGTCATCTTTTTTCCGCAGATTGTTCACGATTGAATGTGCTGCCCGATCAGTTTGTGTCGATTTCCACTGCTCGCTCATATTTTTTGATGAATTAATATGATTGTTGCGACTCACTCTCTTTTTTAGGATTCTGTTCATTGCTGTGAAATTTATTTATATATATTTCTTCGCAGCCCCCTACAGTAATGTCCACTGGGCAATGTGGGGATAAATAAATAAACAAGCGATGAGAAAATCAACCCAGGCTCCGTGCTCGTGACTCTAGCTTTTCTTGTTGTCCATGCTAGAACAGGAACGTGGACACCCACCTTATTTAAAATGGCCTCCGCGAGCTCTGTGAAGGCAAACTCGATGTTGACATTGGTCTTGGCGCTCGTCTCCATAAACCGGATTCCATGGTCTATCGCTACCTGCACGGGACGCCACAAGCGGTTCATCAAACGCACGCAGCTGGGAGGTCATTCTTTTAACACCCGACAGACCACAGAACTTTTTGATCCCCAACCATGAAAGAGTGACCTACGCGGCACCTCTCTACTCTACAGCAATACCCCAAAGGTGGCCACTGCAATACAAAGAGAAATCGGTTAAAATTAACGGGTGGATCAACTTTCAGACTGCTGTCAAAATGATCTCTCCTGTTTTGGGGAAATCGGAGGCCCTTGACGGTAGGCACGCAAAAAACAAAGTATCTCAACTTTGCTTTATTCAGAGAAATTCTCGATCCCCCTCGAGTTAGAGTTAACAAGATTAGACTATATTGTGTCTCAAAGTTTCATTGACACCACAAACACTGCATACACACACTTATGCCACACTTGTGCAGACGTCGTCAAATGCGCTAGACACCAAAATGTGGTGAAGAGTGCGGTGCAGACGACACTGGCGCCTGGCACCTGCCCGCCGAACAGTGGCCCGCCAGCACGCCCCAATCCCGCCCATCGTTGCGTAGATGACGTGACATCTTGCACCACGTAATAGCCATGTTCTGAATGGCCCGACACCAATGTTGCCGGACAGAGCCGAAGTTTGTTTTAATTTCTGCTCGTGTTTAAAATTAGACTTAATGATCTATATACTTCATTTTTTGCGAAGCAAATGACGTAGTGTCTTTTACTAGTGCTTTTCAATGCGAAATCACTCACTATCCTGAAATCTTCGAACTTGAGCAGAGTTGCCCTTAAAGGCTCCGTTATACTCAGACGTTGAATGCAGTGTAGCGCAGAATGCGCGCGTTTCATTGACCGGCAAGCAGGAACTTGAAATCTTCAACCAATCAACATTAGTGCGCTGTGCTATGCAACGTTTGCCACACTCAACGCCACAGTATAACAGAGCCCTTACAGACATTCCGGATGCTGGGACAATTTACGTGAAACCGCCTCTTTCAGGAAGGGAATCCGATTTTCAACACGCTAGTTGTTTAACTAGGTTTTGCATTTAATTAGCAGCCTTTAATGATTTGTTACCCTATCACATTGCGCAAACGAGTGGTTACTAACACTAGGCCGTACCCGCCACAATGCTTCGGCAAGGCGGTTTGTTTTTGCAAGCAAAAAAAAGGAAAGGAAGGCCCACTGACGGCGTTTCCCCGCTCCCGGGAGACGAGGCGCTTGTCCTCCATGTCGCACTTGTTGCCCAGGATCATCTTCTCGACGTCTTCGTTGGCGTGCTCGTCGATGTAGCGCAGCCACTTGGCTATGTTGTCGAAGCTCTTGCTGTTGGTGATGTCGTACACCAGCATGATGCCCATGGCACCTCGGTAGTAGGACGTCGTGATTGTGTGGAAGCGCTCCTGGCCAGCCGTGTCCCTGCGAGGAACCCCAGACACCTCTTCAACGTCCGAGTAAAAGGGGGGCTCCATCCATCTCTCCTTGGCCGCCCATTTGTCTCAAGGTCAGAGCAATGCACACACGGACGAGGCCAAACCACCGCAAAAAGCATGGGGCATCTACCAGATTACTTCCCTCAAATTCCCCGATTTTTCCTGGTTTTCCCCAACAGGTACTGAATAAAATGCCAAGGATGGGGCTGCAGCCATTGTTTGGGCTGTGCCCGTTTAATCGAGCCAAACGGGTGATGCCAACTGTTACCCAGCGCGATGGCCATCCCACTTCGTTGTGTGTTACTGCGATGTCCACGCTGGTCATTTTCCACAACATAACCAATTTTTTCAACAATCTGACGCCTTTTCCAGGTGCTCTTACATTCTCTTACAGTTCCAGGTTTTTCATTCAGGGAATTCAGAGTTTAAAAATATAGAGAAATATAGATCAGTCTAATATGTCATCATGTTAAGTCAGTTGTTCTTATTTTTGGCACACATCAAAATAAAAACATCAATTTTATGTGCCTTTTTCTCTGTTCATACTTTTTCTTGTGCAATGTAGCAACTTGGTACCATTTTCGTAAGGAAGAATGCAGCGATGCTAGTTTTAGTTTCCCAGATCAAGAGTTGTGGGCCATTAATACCTCTTTAAATACTGACCAAGCCTATTTCTTATACTATAATTATAAATTTGCCTTAAACGTAATATGCTCAGGAAAGATGTAGAACAGCATTACTGCACAAATTAGATCCTTACCAACATATTCCTATTAAAATTTCTCATAGTGCCAAAATGACCTGTAACTAATTGCATAATTGGATCGATCTTCTGTAACCCAATTAGACTGAATATTTGATATCATATATAGAATTTGCATAAAATGTTATGCCCCAATGAATGCTATGATAAACGTCCTTTCATAAATAAAGCAGCTCTGAAGACCCTCATTTCTCCTTCATTGGGCACAGTTCGAGCGTCGGCATTTCAGTTGGCACTGCAAAGTTCTCAAAGTGCACACGACATGAGACGGTCTGCCTATTGCCAAACAACGCCTTTTATCTAAACTCGAGTGAAATGCATTGCAACGCACGTTTTGCTCAGTGAAACGGAAGCAGCTAACTCCGTCCTGGGATAATGTTGCCATACGATTTAGGAAAATTCTAATCCACACGAATGCTTTCCTCTCAGAAGTTAATACAACCCCTCCCCCGGTCTGCATGCGTTATAAGCGTGGATTTAATTCTCAGCAATTGTTATTAAAAAAGAAAAATGGCTTCGCAATTTCTTTAATAGTAGGCCCAGTGATAACGCACAGTTGTTAACCGTCTACCATTGACCTGTCAAGTTATGTGTCACAAAGGAGTCGGCGTGCAAAATTTTTATTCCAATTGTCCTCGGTTTTCAGATACTGTAGTTAAATACAGATTCTGCTGACGCTTAAAGGGGTATTTCGGCATTTACTTCACTTCCCCGATTTGCCTGCAAATTTGCTTAGCACACCAACGAACATCACTAAAAATTCTAAGCCAAAATAAATATTTTTCGCAGTTATTTAATTACAAATTTCGGTTCTCACCGTGTTTTTCAAAGTGTAAGTCTCTACTTAACAATGCAAGACACGGAGCATGTCCAGGGCTAAACAAATGGTGAAGTGTAAAAAATGGTTCCCCGCAGTGCACCGAATGCTTACACTTAGTAAATGCGTCTGCACAAGTTTCCTCCTGCAAGCACAAAAGCCACTCACCATATTTGCAGCTTTATTTTCTTGCCCTTCAACTCTATGGTCTTTATCTTGAAGTCAATACCTGCGTAAGCAAAAAAAAAAAAAAACACGCGGGTGTCGTTTGTGTCAGCAGCCGGGTCAATAGCACAAAACACCGACAGCTTGCAGTAAAACACGTCACTATAAAGCAGGCGCAAAACCTATTGCTCACGCTAACCTTTTCTGCAGAAAAACCTTACCTGTCGAAGATGTAACTCAATACCTTTTATTCTAATAAACAATAAAAAAAACAAGTTCTTTTAAACGCCAGAGACGGGATGGCCGAGCGTTAATGACTTATCGGTGAATATCAATCAGACGTAGCGAACTTTGCTATCTGTCAATGACCACTATAGCGAGCTAACCTTTTTGTCTGCATAAATTGGAAAGAAGCAGACGACAATTTTTCGTCCTCGGCGGTCACCCCCCTTAACATGGCATAAACTAGAGCTCGATTAAATCAATTCTCGCAAGTACAAAACAAAACTAACGAAGGTGACAATGGTCAGAAATTTGCGAACTTCACTACCTGCAAAAAGCCTGGTGGGGAGCGAGTCTTTACAGCCGTGCCATTTCAACGTGAGCAGACGACAAACTTTCGCAATATTTGCCCTCTAAGAACTTGTAAAGCAGACGGACCAGACGCGGTGGCGTCTAGGATGCTGGCGACCCGTACGGTCACGCTAGCTCAATCTTGGCCGATAAATTATTGCTCAAAGGGCGTCCGAGGTGGCGTCGCCTCGAGTGCACGTCTTGAGAGCAGGAAACGGCGCCGGGCGGGTTAAGACGAAGAACGCGATGACTCGATATCGGAAGGAAAAAAAAGAAATATCGAAGGAGGCAGCATTTGGGTGGAACCCCCGTCCGAAGCCAAAGCGCTACGGACGTCGGACAAGAAGGGACTAGAAAACTCACCGATGGTCGATATGAAGGTAGTGTGGAACGCGTCGTCGGAGAACCTGAACAATATGCACGTTTTGCCCACTCCGGAGTCCCCGATGAGCAGCAATTTGAAGAGCAAATCGTACGTCTTCTTGGCCATTCCGACAATGGCCGCTCTCGGGAACCTTGGGTATCACTTAGGAGCGGAAACGCTGCCGCGCGGTTCTCTGTTGCTTCGTTTCCGTCGGGAAGGTCTCACGAGGACAATAGCAAGCGGTTCACGGGTGCGGCGCTTGCTATCGGTAGACGCTAGTCCATCGATGCATAGGCGCTCACTTCTGATCCTCCCAGGAGTCAGGCCTAACCAAAACTCTGCGCACTGCGTTCGCTGCTAATGCCAAGATGACGTCACGCGCTGTCGCCGCCGCGGCTGGCCGCGTGGAACGGATATCCGGTCACCATTTTACGTCTCGTTCGTTTTGCTCTTGCGGGGCAGCTTTTCGAACGCCTGTTTTTAGAGATGCGTTCGCATTACGGCTCCCCAAATAAGAGTGACGTCATGTCTATAAATGGGCACACCGGGCCAAAGTGGCCAAACCGTAGAGGCGAGCAACGTTGGAAACGAGTTGAGCAACATAAGTGGCAAATCGAAGCGATCGCGGTTACTGGTTTTTGTTCCGTTTTTACTTTTGGGCGTTTGAAACGTTTTCCAAATAACTTGCGACGGCTTAGGTCGGTACTAAAGGAAATGGAGCTTTGTATTGCCCGTTCCGTTTTTCCCCCGCTCCTGGGTCACCATGTCAGTATTGGATCGGTATGCCATTGCACAGTTTTGAGCCGCTTTGTTAAGACCGCCTTCAATGTGATAGCAAGGCGTGGCAGGAAATACCGCTCTTGATTTACGCAATCCACGATCTTTATTCAGAACGATCGCCTTCGTCGTACCAGTTGTACAAGATCTTTTATTGGCGATGAGTTTGTACGACGCCCGCTCTCCAACGTGGCGAAAGCAGCATCCTTCAGCCCCAGCCTCGCTGACGTCATGATCAATCCTCCTCTTCCTCCTCCACCGCAGAGCCAAAAAGGCGCGCGCGACAAGGTCACGCATTGTCACGTGCCAGTTCTCGCGGCGACTTATTTAGAAGCCTCCAAGTGTGACCGCAAAAACACGTACCGCATTTCTTTTAATGCATACGCATCGCATCGTTGATCCCTGATGAGTTCAAGGTCAACCAGGGAACACAGCCGCCATCGCACCCAACGTTGGTCGCACCAGCTGGATGTTGGCGATTTGGAACAGCTGGGAGCATGAAGGATTATTCCCAAAATAACATTCAATGTTACCCAAAAAATATCTTTTTTTCTCCTGATTTTTTTTTTAGTACAGATGCATATTGCACAGCTTACACCACAGTGATTCTGTGAACAATGATTCAAACATACAGTCTCCAACAGAATGAAGATGCATGGTGAAGTCGAAAGCACGAGCCTGGTTGGATCATACCAGAGAACAGGGTGCAGAACAGCTAAATTTCCCAATATGGCACCCATTTTGGGATGCTGTTCATGGCATCCAGCCATTAGCATTCACAATGAGGCATCTTGCACTACCTTTGTCTGGTCAGTTCAAGGCAGTTTCGCAGTTTACACACACACAACGTTCAGTCTTTGCACTGTCAATGGCCGTTCCGATGGTTTGCGTCCGACCGTGTCGGATCTGACTTTTTCAGCATCAGCATGAAGGAGTCTTTGAACGTTGGTTTTGGTTTTGGCGGCACCACTGGCAACTGCTTTTCCCGACTGGTGAAGCGGCGACCTGCCGTGCCAAGAAGATCGGGCATTGACTTGGCCTTGATGGTGGAAAAGTTGTCTGCCTTCTTGATCTGAGACTCCGGTGTGGAGTGACGGGTGAAGAACTGCCGCGGGACCTCCGGTGGGCTGCCCATGTCGTTCACTAGACACTCCAGGAAGGTGGCATCGTCTGCAAAACAGAATCAAACGGTGCTACTACATTCGTGTTGGAGTCGCTTATCGATTTCCCACCCGTACAATGTCTAGTGAAAAATTGGAGATCACAAAAGCCACAAACTTGCACAACTGCCCATGTTTCTTAAAATCTCCGACGAGGAAACACTGGCGCCATCCATCGGGTAGCCGTAGAACACTTGCAGTTTCCCTGCATTTCCTTTTATTTTTCGCGCATCATTCTCTCTTTCTTGGTTCACTTTTGAAAGTGTTATAAACGTCCATTTCTCATAGGCTATATAACTTTGATTTTGCAAATACAGCAAAACCTTCGCTCTAATTAAATACAGTTCCAGCCAGGGTCGCCTCATAGATGGTGCCAGCATATTCTAGGGGATTCTAAGAACTCTGTCGTAAGCAAAGAAGTGGGTACCTCAGTGCGATTAAGCACAATAGCAGTGGTTCTCAACCATTAACGTTTTGGGGGACCCCTTATGGCTCGTCGGAATTGGGACCCCATCCACTGGGTAGGAAGGCGGGTATTGTACGATTACAATGACAAAAGAATAAATGAAGAAAACGAAATGTTTGCAAACCAAGTTTGAAGCTGACAGGGGGAATAATCGACTACTCACTCGGTGCATATGGTTTGGTCAATTTAACTTCTTGGGACAGTCAACATCATAAAGAAAAAGTTTTATTGATCGGCTTAATTAAAGGTCAAAAGCTTCGGGGATCCCAAAGGGTCCGCGGGGCCCCATTTGAGAACCACTGCGCTATAGAATGACCCCCACCCTCTGCCATATTTCTCTACTGGGCTGTGGGACGCATTCTGTATGTCTTCTCCTCGTAAGAGATCGCGAAAAGTCGGTCCTAAGAAAATGCGAGTGTGTGAATGGCTCTTTAGATGTATCCAAGTAACGGCGACAAGATATCCGGAAAAATCAGCTGCTCTTTTCTCGTTATACCGTCTGCTACGGAATGTTGCAACAATGCGCATGGTTACACCCGTACCGGAGACCTTATCAATTCCCCAAAGTGCCCGCACAATGTCTACTGAGAACCCAAGATGAGATGAGATGTATGGGCGATAAGATACCGGCAAAAATCGGTTGCAAAAATATCCTTTTTTCCTGTAATACCGTCTGCTACGTCATGCTGTAACCATGCGGGTCTCTTTAAGGAGGTGCGATAATAATTCCGAGTGACAATGGAGTAGATAATGGTTTGCGGGGCAGGCTTCTGCCCTTGCCAAGGTAAACATCTTTCGAGTTAATACGATAAGGCGTGGGACAGAGACTTGTAACTGAAGAGATGTAACAGATAAAGAGCATGAATGTCTGAACGTTTGAGGCTCCAAAATTGTCTGTACTTATGTTTTGCATTCGTACAATCTCAGGCCATCATCATAAATTTTTAAATCCGAAGGTGGATGTTAAAACCTGTTGAGGAGACTAAAGCGCTTCGACGCTGTCCGGAGTATGATCGTGGGTACTACTAACCGATTTCGAACGACGAACTCTGGTTTGGAGACTGCTCATAGGATCCCGGTGGGTCGTGGGTCCTAGAGCGACCTCTCCTGTCCGTCGGCCACAAGTTGTGCCAGTTGTTTTTGTTGTTGAGGGTCGTGATGTTGCAGGCTTCGGACGCCGCCGGTCGTTCACGCTTTCTCACCTGCAAACCAAATCGTGCAATTTTATCTTTAGGGAAGCTGCTTACGCAATTATAAGTGCGCGCTAATACCACCATCGTTATTCTCTAGCATATTATTTTAACAAAATTTGCCTCCATGATCACACAGCATTTTGTCACTTAGAAAGATGTACAGTGTAGCGAACCGAGCATCAGCTAAACGATCACTATATAAAGTGTACGAGAACTTAACTAATGTAGTAACCAACTCTGCTTCAGGTCCAGTACCTCATCTGGGGATGTAGACAAAATGTTAACACCAAGATAGGTCTTGCACATCCTGGGTGCTGTGTACCTAAGGTTCGAAAAGAGAGGTGCCTGCCGCTCTTCAAAGCTCCCCCGCCAAGTTATTTACGGATCGCTCAACGGCCCACAAACGCCATATTTGAGGATTCCGGTGGAATCGCTACGGACTGTCCCAACGATCCGATTGGGCCATCGCCAGCTGGCAGTGCGACGCACTATTTGGAGACACACTGCATCAGGTGTCACTATACTTTTTCAAGCTTGGTTCGTTCGGTGCAACCAGGTTTCTTTGAAACCTGCATTAGATAGTAAGAGAACCGTTACATATGTAACGATTCTCTCGTTAGACATGATCGTGTTTGCCTGTTAATTTGAAAGTGGTTGTTAAATGGGCACAATGAAACATGCAATACAGCTAGTAGGCACCGATAACACTTATCGCAAACAAATTCGGTTTTCTGAGTATCTTAGTATCACTTTTCCTAGACCAAGCTGTGAAACAATGCAAGTTATACGAGTATGTTTCATCCCCATCCACGACGCTCACAATCCTTTCGATACCACAAAAGATAATGTGAGGGCTTGTATAGAAGCAAAGAACCCGTTTCCAGATGATCCCTGCTGCATCTCAGACAACATCTTGTTTCCGTGTGCGTGGGAGCGCACTAATGTTGACAACAAAGAGTCTCGAGAGAGGACGCACGAGCCAATTCGAACTCTATGGTCACAGCTATCAGCCGATGTCCCGTCGGTACAATGAACTTACCTCGCTGTAAATAGTTGTACATAGATTAATGGGGATGGTAGGGTAAACGGGTCATTGTGGTTTTAATTTTGTATCTCCAAAACTACCGCATATATTATTGCAAAATATTCATGCATTCTATAGTTACAGCCTTGGGATTAACTTTCCGTCCCTTTTTTACTAGAGCAATTTTTATATTTTTTAGTCATAAAGAGTCAAATCCCGGGCCGAGTTCCAGTTTTTCATGTACCGTATTTACCCGAAAATAGGTCGACCACGAAAATAGGTCGACCCCTATTTATTGAGCCCACCGAGAATAAAAAAAAAATAATTCAAATATAGGTCGACCTTTCTTTTTTTTTTTTTTTTAAGGAACAGGGGAAAGTTAGGGCAAAAGAAACAAACCTTTAATTACATCACTCTCAGCTAAATCACAGGGCGATGTCAAAAACTTATTCATCGTCAGAACTTCCGGACATATCGTCGTCCGAAGCGTCCGAAGCTTCGTCAGCTTGGTCAGCTTGGTAGACATACTGGCAACAATACCTCACTGACACCGTTGTAAAATGACGACAAGAAGAAACGAAAGAAGGTGGAGACGGGCCAGCCACGAAAGACCAAATACAAAGACACGAGCAACGCTGCGAGCCCCGTGAGCAACACGCGACCCGCCGAAGAAAAACATACTAAAATACCTCCGTTTTTTTTTTTTTTTTTTTTTGCGCGTTTGCGAGGGAGAGAGGAATGGAGCGCATAGGAGGGCAAAGTGCATGGCGCATCGCGTTCCTCTCCCTCCCCTTCCCCCTTGCCCAGCGAGGGGAACGCTACAGGCGTGATGGCGAAACCCGACGCTCGAGGAAAATGCGCGAGAGCTGGTGCTGTTCGGTTGTTTTTGTGTTTTTGTGCATCGAAAGCTTTTTGAAACAAGAAGCCGCGCGGCTCTACCGCGACGCCGGCTAGGTGATTGATAGCTCCATACCCTCGGTAAGGTTTAAAATTTTGGTCGCGAATTAGGTCGAAATTCTTTGGTCACGATTATAGGTCGACCCTTAATTTTTGACAACATTTCCGAAAAAAAAAGGTCGACCTATATTCGAATAAATACGGTAACTTGGTACTGGCTTTAAACTGAACCTTCGAAAAATGTTTGAACATGCAGAAAGCAAAAAAAAAATATTGTTCTCTCACGTCATGAGGCATAAGAGGAACCTTTTTTATTTTAATATTTTTAACATTATAATGTAATGAATTTTTGAAATTTTTAGGTTTGAATTGTTGGCAAGATAGTTTACTACAAGCTGTGAACCTTTTAGTGTAATCGTTTAATTGGGTAAGTAGTTTCTTGGTAAGGGTACATCGGAGATCCAGAAATCGCAAAAATATAATTTCGAGGAAAAACATTTTTTCGTCTCCGTACAAAGGCAAATCGCCAGGGGGCGTGGATCTTGACGCAACATTCAGACGGCTTGGAGTGCTCGTTCACGGTCGCTGCTGCCTGGTTTTGTTCCTCGGACTGCATTTATTTTTGTCATGCTAAAACTGCAAAATTGATTTTTTTGGTTGTTCCCCTCAAAGAGCTTCAAAAACGTCTCGAGAAATGTCTAGCAACCCCAACAGATAATTTTCTAAATGCCACGACCGGCGCCCGATTTCAAACTTCAACGGCCGTTTCGACAGACAGCGCAGCAACCTGCGCACGTCAAGAGGAAACTTCCGGGACTATAGAATAAAAACTTGTACCGTCAACAAACACAAACAGGCACTTGAAAAAACACGAAAGCAAGATTACGTGCAGAAAGTGGGCCAAGCAAAAACCACGAGAGTTTACCTGCGGGGACATATCTGCTCCTCTGGTCCGGGGGTCACTCCTGAGTGAACTGCGGGCAGTCGGGAGTCCGGATCGAGAAGCGACGCAGACGCTATCACTCCCTTCAGACAGATAAGGCACGAAAGGCGTCACGCGTGCACCGTTGCGTTCGGATAACGTACAGACTGACCAAGGGCAGGTGATTCAACGTATTGTTAGAGAGAGGAGTCATTAGTGCCTATTTTGAAGCGATCAGCAGTCTCTCTCCTATCGTTGGGAGGAGAGCCTACCCTTTGCACCGCTGCATGCACCAGAGGCGTGCTCGATGAGCTAGGAGACAGTGACAGCATCTCGAGAGTTTGTACGCAACGTGAAACGGCGAGTCGCTGTTGCGCAACCATGCTGCTGCGATGAAGTGGTTGCGAGTCGTTGGGGCAACGCAACATAAATGTGCGAGGATTGCATCTAGTACGTTTGCTACTATCAATTATGCTAGTATGTGCACACCATTGCTTCGTTTACTGGAGTACTACCGAACAAATGGGAGGCTTGGGTATCGACGTCTCGAGTGTTGTGAACTATACTGCAGAAATTAAACGGCGATTTCGAGTCGTCTGGGCTACTGGACGTAAATGTGTAACGACTGCGCACAATTTTTTTGCTTTTTTAGCCGCACTTCTATCTGCACATCATTGTACCATTTACCGTTGCACAACCAAATGAGCGGGAGATCCGGGTATTGAGCACTGAACCGTTGGAGATTGTACAAAAGTAGCACGCAACTGAACAGTTGGTTTTATCAGAGTGAGCATTCATTAGAGTTTGAACAAGTAGCAGTGCTCTTCAATTTTTCGCTCAAGTTGTTAAGCGAACTGTCCGAGAATATGGGACTCCACCGTAAATTAGTTTCTCTCTCCTACCCATAGGGACACACCCAGCTGGACTGGGAATGGTCCGGTACGCAACCCCATTAACTTTGCAATGCGGCACCTGATAGGGACATAGCATATCCCTATCAGATGTCAAGTATCTATTGACTTAACTGTTCATTACGCAACCGTTTACTAAGAAATTGTCGATTCAAAGCATGCCAGGCGGTAGATCTTCACATCACCCCTGAAACCAACACTTCTAAAGGTCCGTTCGTGCGCTTAGGCTTGCTTACAACCGAGGTATCTCTTCCGACGAGAGAACACACTGGCAGGCTGGCGCCAGCTATGAGGTGACCCTGGAACTGCATTTTACTAGAGCCAAGGTTTTGCAGTAGTATTCGCCAGATCAAATGTATATACTCCCTTTGAGAAATGGACGTTTACAGTAAAATCCCAATTGTACAATCACATTCAATCCCGATTTCGGGATGATACAAATTTTTTTAGAAGCCCTGGACAAAGTTTTATTTTATCGGGATAGTGCAAATGCTCTCTCTCAGGCCGCAACGGATGATACGAACGAAAGAGCCGACCTCGAGAAGAAGAACCCCCCAGATTTTACAAATACTGGGGGTCATCGAGGCAAACGTATCGTGGCATTTCCCACGAATTGGGAGGCTGTAAAGGTATTTTGAGAAAGGACACTTCGGTATATCATCTTACTAACACCGATCACATTCCACTGAGCCACGAGCGACCCTTTTGCGCAAAGGCGGCGGTCACGGCCAGGCGCTGTGGCGTGGGAAATCGCAACTGCCACGGGGCCACAGTCACCCCAGCTAGAAAGCTGCGGTTAGGGCTAGGGTGTTCTACTCTGGCCCTAGCTGCTCTTCAACCACGTATAGGGCTAGAGCAGGGGTCTCTAAACCCCACTCGCGGAAGTCTTCCAATCTTCTCTCCCAATGAAGCCCAGCCCGCTTCGCTAGCGGGGCAAAAAAAATTGCGCGTAGAGAAATGGCACCAGGACTTGCTCCAAATGCACCAACCTAAGATACCGGGAAGAACGAGAGAAACCGCATTGCAACGCGGGTCCTCTCGCCGTATCATTAATTGAACACCGACATCACCAGCACTACCATACTTAGTGCCCTGCTTCCTGTCTGTGTAACTATGATAAAATTTTATTGCATTCCCATATACATCACACTTAGTGTCCTATGTCACTATTGCATACCGTCAGCATTAATCCTATCATTCTCGTTAGTCTTTTGCACTATGCGAAGGTATTAAGTTCCCATGCGCTTTGCTTTAGGACTGGCGAGTTTCCTTGGCCACAAGCCTAGTGTAATGTCATAATTAGCTAAATATAAAAAGAATATTGAAGCATATCCTCCTTACGAGATTTTTAATACTCGATCTAACATTCATTTATGCGTTCAAATAGTTATCTAGGTATATTACGTTTTTCCCTGCTTATGATTACTCTTTTTTCCTTGGGGCCCCTTAGCCAAAAAGTTTGGACACCTCTGGACTAGAGTAAAAAAACCAAGAAATAAAAACAAGCGAACCAGTCCCAGATGTAGTGCAATACCGGCGGTATTGCACTGCCTTTTAAGGCACGTGGTCGTAAGCAGAGTGTCAAACAGCCTTTGGGAACAGAATCACGTCGGCTGAACAAGCACCAGTGGCCAGCCAGCAAGAGGGGCCCTTCGATTGCGGAGAGCAACTCACACAAAACGCAGCTTACCAAAGAAAAGAAAAAACAACTTTTATTATTACGGAATTATGTACAATCTGCCCTTTCCTATACAAAAAGAAGGCCTTCTCTGTCCTCGATACGGCAGTCCAAAGAACCCCCTCAACGTATAAATCATCCGTATATTAATCGTAACAGTCTCATCCTCTTATTAAAACGTGAGCCTGGCGGGAGGGGAAATCATAACGTTAAGTTAAACGATCGATGCCGCAAAAGCAAAAATAAACTCCGAGTAGGTTACGCGCAAAACGAGAAGAGAGAACAATGTGCCCGCACAATAACAACCGCCAGGTTCTCCCGTTTTCCGCCTGGCTCGTCAAGTTCTTTGCCGTCGTTCCACCAGTAGCCATCGCGTGGCTTTTAAAAGATCCACTACGCCAACGGTTGACCAACGTCTACCCCGAACGCACCGAAGACACCTTACTGGCGACACTCTATTCCGTAACTTAGGCGGAATAACAGTACGTCTTTCTTGTGTCTGCGAGCAGGGTTGGCAAACAGTTCTCCCAGACACGACAAGAAACACCGGCGTTGCCAACAGGAAGTGTGGCCGGGTCACCAGCAACAACTGCAAGCAGAGTGGGCCAAACGTTGGCCAAGTTTTCCTGCAAACCTGACAAAAACAGCCTGTTGGCAACACCGTTATACTTCAGTGTTGCCACTGCGGCAGACCGCCCATGTGTGTGCCAGTATGCAGTACCCCTTAGAGACGCACTTAAGACGTTTCTGAGATCGTCTGTTCTTGGTGATAACTCATTCTACGGGATCTCAGCATACCGGAAATCTAAAAATTATGCTCGTGCGATGTCTATTTTTTTACTAAAAATGCGATCAAAGTTCCCGCCATACCCCTTTGCAAGCGGAAAAATCTGGAGCAAAGAATTCAGTGCAAGCGCTGGTGGCGTGACGACGGGCGCGTGTTGGCCAATCGCAGGTTGCCTTTCAGAGAGAAGCGGCTTGCTACTGGCTGATGCACGCCCGCCGGCGCCTCCGCTGGATTTTGTGATTCAGATTTTTCCGCTTGGAAAGGGGCGTAGCACAAACAAGTTCAATCGCATTTTAAGTAGGGAAATAGGTCCCGATCCTTAAGATCACGTAGCATGCGTTATCATCAAGAACAGACGATATCCGAAACGTCTTTAGTGCACCTTTAAGCGCGTCCGGGTCGCCAGCAAAGCAGTTGGCGCGTCTCTGCAACCGGCGTTGGCCAACCGTGACTGCTATTGGTGCCTCGGCCCAGGGTTCCTTCCGATTGTAGACCGACGCATCAATCTTCCCACTCGTCCTCTTCGGAATCGGAGTCGTCGCTTGATTCGCTGTCCTCTGTCGGAAAAGAGAAAGGCGGGGTTTGCAGGATTAGGTCACGCAAAACTCGCAGCCAGATCACAAGCGAGACCGAAGCTGTAACAAAGTTGTGGTAATACACCCATGACTGCAAAAGCCTCAACCACAAATTCAGAAAGATGCAAAGATAAGTGCCTGGACCAAGGAGTTAGGCCAAGAAGTATGGCGACGAAAACGTGGGTAATTTCCGACGAGAGAAATGGTTTGCAATGATTACGCCGAGCGGTTACATCAGACTCTCACTGAAGGCTGCTTTCAGCTTTCAAATGAGATAACCTCCCTTCGTTCGAAAACATGCAGTACACGTGGATGCTTTGTACCTCTCTTGTTCTGCTGCCAAAAATAGGTAGAAGGTCAACCGAAAGATAAACTGCGCTCAGAGATAGCCTACCCCACTTTTCCAACCACTTTTCTGCCGCCGAAAAAGTGCCAAAAGATAGCCCGCTCCTGGAAAACGGGTTGCCTCGCGAGGTGGGACAGGTGTGCAAGAGCTATGGCAATGGCAGTGGTAGCTTCTTTAAAAACTTGGAAGACGAGCGAACAAACGCAGAAAAATACAGCTGAAAGCACATGGGAGGAAAGCCCATACTGACGAGCTCGGGAATGCTGGGGTTCCAATCTACCGCGTTTGCACGATTCTAACGCACACTTTTTTTCACCAAAGTCGGGGCCCAAAACTACATGCGCGTTACAATCGAAACCAAAAATCGAAACTCAAAAGAAAAACGCAATATTCGGTACAAAGCGGCTATCCTTATCGCCATCGTGACCACTTGTTTACATTCGACCATTTTGGTATCCGTATCACGCGCATTCTTTCGTGTCTACAGACTCGTGTCAGCAGTTTTAAGATGGAAAAACCAAAGGAATTCCATTAGGAGGCTTAATTTAAACGAAAGGCCATCTCGCTGGCGGGAAAAGAGAACAAGGGGGCAGCACTGCGTGGCCTCGCAATTCCAGCGACCCGACGAGCTCGCAAAGTGTTGTTTGGAAGAAGTCCCTCTAATAGGCGACGGTCGCGCACTCGTACAAGCGCAAGAAGCGCGGCACTTAAGACGCTTTAGACGGAAGCAAGGATTACCCCTGTAAACAGCAAAGAACCATCGTCAGACTCCGACAATGGCGACTAGTGCGCGGCATTTATGTTTGCCTTGGCGCGTTTCATAAAATCTGTTCTACGAGGTATGTGTTCAACCTTGATTAGTTTATCTGCACAGTAGAATCGGCAGCAATTTACTTTCTGGATGCCTGGAAGCTAAATCTGCCTGCACGTTAGAATTGGAGGTGCGTTAAATCGTGCAAACACGGTAATGAAGGGACCGGGGGATCGGGATATCGCCGTCTGCTGCGAGTGATCGGCGGTGTGCTGTGATCGGTCGATCGCAGCATGTAACGATGTCCCAGTCCTGCTGTGTAGATTAGGGCCGCTGGGCTCGACCCCACCAAGTTTTGCAGCATGCAAGTTTTGCGGTCTGCAGATCTGCACGGTCAGCTGTATTTTTATAGCCCATAGCCCAAAAATTCACTCTCATAGCTGAAAAACGAAATGTCGTCCTAACGTACGTTTATCTAGTAGATCGTCTGGACATCTTCAGCGTGCAACAAGGATCTCGTTGAGACAGCACCCGGTCCACAAAGTGCCTTCGTCAGACAGCACGTCGAGAATGATGCAACGGTTTCATCGAGGTTCCCTGCCAACTTACGATTGGCTACAGATTGCTCGCAACTGACCTTCAACCGCACTTGTTTTGCAGGCGGGTGATACCGCTATCAGCAGCCCTACGATGGGCGACTATCAACGGCCCAAAGTGGCTTCCCATATCGATAGTGTGGATAGCACCGCAGATTGTTTTGCTCCGTTTTAGCAATGCCAGGAACCTGGACTTACGTAAGCATGCCCTTGCCCTCTCCTGGAGCGCTCTCGCCAGGGCTCCGGCCAGACCCTCCAGCTTGTTGTCCGAGGGCGGGGGTTTCGGTGCGTCTGGAACCTGGAGTGAAAATTCACACACACACATAAGGTCACACTCGCACAAGCTCATACTTGCGCAGAGTCGCACCCGAGCAGACTCGCACTAGAACAGACTCGCACTAGAACAGACTCGCACCCGAGCAGACTTGCACCCGAGCAGACTCGCACCCGAGCAGACTCGCACCCGAGCAGACTCGCACCCGAGCAGACTCGCACTAGAGCAGACTTGCACCCGAGCAGACTTGCACCCGAGCAGACTCGTACCCGAGCAGACTCGCACCCGAGCAGACTCGCACTATACTCCGTTTCACCTTACTTAGGACCGCAGCGGAAGGCTGGGGGCTGTGACGCGACCCAGACAAGTTATTCCTACGCATAGCGAAGTAGTGCGTCAAAGACCTTGGGCAGTACAAAGCATGGATATACTTTAGCCTTAGTTTAATATTTTGTGTCGTGTACCATCAACACAAAAACAACTTCTGTATTCAAGAAGGGCTTTCAAACGTGATATCTAATACATAATTAGGTAGCATGTCCGGAGAAATTAAACTTTCAGTTGGCAACGCTGCCGTTGTGTTCGTTTCTTCATGCGTTTGGTTCAGGTTTGCTTTCCAATTCGTGACGTGATCTTAAAAAAATGTTTCTTCCCAAGAAAAGTTTTTTATTTAACAGTTATTGTACACTCTGTGAAACTCTGATAAATGTTTATTGGAAGCAATCATTTCAACTTTATAAATACTTTTTGCCCATTTTTAAGATGTCACGTGACAAATTGTCGTTTTTTGCGTAATGACTGCGGCATCGTCAAGCATGTCTCCGTCAAAGGCGCCGGTACTTCCATCACCAGCTCGCTTCCAGATGACATTTGCTAAAACCTCGTTTGGAAAAGAGGCACGCCAAGTTGAGCTGAACGTTTACTACAATAATTGGGGCCAACATTGCTAGGTGCGAATTCGCACAGTTCGAAGCTCAAGGGGCCTTCGCACGTTGGTGCCGTCTCAGAAACATTCGTGGATTCAGGAGGCTGTGTTCACCGGGATCACGACGGACGAGCTAGTAGGCCATCGTAGTGAATGGAACAGAAAACATCCATTGACAACATGTCTGGTTGCGCCGTGAAGCGGAGATTTATTCGTCGATGCCGCATGGTTTTTGCGGAATTGGAGAAAAGAAACAAAATAGCTTCATACCGCCGTGGGTGATTTGTCACTCGCTCTCTGAGAGCTATAGTGTTGATGAACGTTCCCCCTACGTCGTGGCAGTCCCATTAGAAGTTCTTGTTAAACGCACACACGGTTTTGCAGCAAAAACTATGAATTAAAACACTCACTTTGCTTGCTCTTTCACTTTTATTTAACGATTTATAAAACCGTGGCCTGCGCGTTCTGCATGCGAGCAGGAGTATGCGGCGAACTTCCAAGCAAGCAAGAGCGTTTCGGTTAAAGTCAAGGTTCGATTGTTACCGCTTACCTGAATTGTTGAGCGACTTAAAACGAGTAGATGGGTTTCTGTGTGCCACAAGTAAAGCGAAAAGCTTCTGCGGACCCTGCTTCTGCTCGACGGGTAAAGCTATCTGCGTAAGCCTATCCCACACAGAAAGGCGACGAAACCGTCGCGCGTCGATCTCACAACTCCAGAATGCTCCAGCGCTCCGTAATAAGCGAAGAACATTACACAAAGTCAGGTATGCTAATCGAAAACAGCAGATGCGATGGTTCATCCCCAGTGAGCCCGCCTAAACCTTCCTGCCGGCACGATTGCAACCCGCGCACTGATACCGCTGATACGCGCTTGAGGAGCAAGCCGACGTCACTTCTAAACATGCGCTTGATTGGCTCTGGCGGTCCGTAGCTTTGGCTCGGGGTCCAACTTAAGGTGAAACGGAGTACAGAGCAGACTCGCACCCGAGCAGACTCGCACCCGAGCAGACTCGCACTAGTGCAGACTCACACTCAGTTCAACTGGCACACACTGACATTCGCAGTCATACTCGCACAAATTAACCTGCATAAATCTAATGTCAAATTTACTCAGTAAACCATGTAAACTAGGACAACATTGAAATGGGCATGTGTAATTAACTTGAATTTGAATGGTAATTAACTTGAATTTAAACTGTCCAAACAGAGAATGAGAGGAAGGCAGCACAGATGCATTGCCCTATCTGTCTCTCTGCTTAGTACCTATCAGATCAAGTTACCTATAGCTAAAACTCTTAGCTTTCGGCACCTATGTCTGATGGAATTCGACAACTACTTGCGTTAATGTCACTAAAATAAAATAAGCATTTAGTCAAAACTATGTTCCACACACAAACATCGGCATCTCCGGTACCAAGAATACTAGGGAGAAAAAAATTCATTAGAAGTAACGAGTGGTGCAAGAAACGAAGAAAAAGCCTAGCAGCCTAGAGCGCAGCAAGATGCCTATTTCCCTGGTCGCTTGAGTACATTATTTCTAACCTTACCACAATGAGTGTTAAAATCACTACTAATACTATACACAGAAAACCACCACAAACGTAAAAATATAAGGGCAAAAACAACCAACAGGAATAACGGCACTTATTCTGTTCTTTCTGATCAGCTAATGCAACACTTTGTGTACAATCGTGCATGAACTCAGCTGCACCATTCCCAAAGTGCCTTCAATTTCTTTTTACAACATATTTTCTTAGTTAGAGTGCAAATGAACTAACCGACATTACCGTAATATCCTGAGTCATTGCCCACCCCACTTTTTGGATGAATATTGATTTCTCAAAAAAACCACCCCAACAAATACCCAACACGAACTCCACGAACATTCATCCTACCCGAATGAGGCAGCCGCGGACCTTACGGCTGGAGGACTTTCGTGACAAAGCAGAACGAAGGAGAGAAAGACACCTCACTTTGTTTACACATCACCTCCCCACTTTCTGCGACTACGAAGTAGGAGTAGATGCGTGTGAAAGGAAAAACAATAGAGATAACAAAATAAAACTGTGCTGGTTACAAAAAAAAAAAAAAATGCCAGAATCATAACATAAGCAGTAACCCATTCAGGGACCGCGAGGTCAGCGAACGCCCCATATCCCGAAATGTAACCGCAGACTGTAAGATCAAAGTCCGTCTCCACTGAAATAAGGCCACCGCGAACCCGTTCCTTCTCCCAGAACGTCGCGACCGCGGTTTTGTAAGGTTGTGCAATGTTCGGGAGAAACCCAGCAGGTAAATAAAGATTTGCTGGAGTACCGCACACAGACGTTTGTAAAGCATCCCATTTCTAGCTCCGTGTTCGTGATGCCGTCCGCGCCATGTAGCAATGCCGCCTCAACCCGCGTTGATAGCACGCCGCGCACGGACGCATGCACAAACAAGAAAGTTACACGAAAGCCTGCTCCTTGCGACTGACAGGGTGCCCACCTTGGCCCGACGACAAAGTATTTGCCAACGCGATCGTCTGCTTTCTCGCTTCCCCCTTCTTCGCCGCTTCTTCCGTCCACTCACTCGCTCGTTGTGCCTGGTTGGTTTTTCTATTTTCTTGTTGACCCCTTTCTTTTTCTTTAATGCAAAAGCATTAACTGTCCTAAGGAGCGAACTGGCATTATCAGCTTTTGAAGCCGCACCAAACGGCACCTAAATTCCTTTGTCCCATGGAGAGAAGCCTAGAGTATGTAGCAGCGAATTCATAGATTAACTCCCATTGGCTGGTGCACAGCGTAGTTCCAAGGACTGCCACGCCACAGAGGGCGCTGCACCACAGAGAAGCCCTCTCCATGGTGCAGCGGCCAGGCCGCCGGTAAAAAGGGAGAAGGTGGCCGGGCTCTGCAGTGCTCGCCCGGGCAGCCTACCCAGAGGTCGCCCAGCCGGGCTCAGCGCAGCACGCAACTTGTAGGAACGCTACGTATACAAATGCTTTCGCATTCCTACAGAGTAGCAGTCTTAAGTGTCTTTGTAGTGTTTGTCTTACTAACGAAGAGAACATATGGTGTTAGAAACATGCTTTTAGAAAACAAACATTTGAACGCTATGCCGATAGGCAGTGCTCATCGCATGTAAGCAAGGAATGGGTTTTGAGATAAACATTCTTTCACAAAGATTTCTTGTATAAAACAATAAAACTAATCAGAATTTTGAGTTTAATTTATCTGTCGTGCAGCCGCACTAAATATGTACAAGAAAGATAGAAGTGTTTTTTAGCTTACTTTAACTCTTTGTGTTTACTCACCAAGAAATGGCTCACCCCTCTTTTTTACGAATTTCAATTGGGGGGGGGGCGGGGGGGGGGGGGGGGGCGATGACTTAAGATATTACGTTAGTCAATGCCCCATTGCCGAAGCTCTCCTATAGAAAGGTGATATGGGTCCCGTGACTCTGGTGAATTCAGATACAGTAGAGCCTCACTGATGCATCCTCACTTGACCTATTTTCCAGGTTACGTTCACAACCAGGGCCGTACCCAGAAAAAAATTTCGGGGGGGGGGGGGGGGGGGGGGGGTTTTGGGGACAACGGTGGCCATTTTGAAAGTGTCTATTGTCTTATTTTCGCCTATGAATCATGTGCATCGGTGGCATATAATGGAGAGTTACAGCAAACCGGAGAACCAGCCCCAGTTTGGTACCCGATAGCCGACTGGCGCCATTGCGCGTGCGCAGAGGTGGAGATCAAAATCGGCTGGCTGCCAGTGCACCGACCAGGGCCGTACCCAGAAAAACATTTCGGGGGGGGGGTCAGAACCCCCTAACACCCCCCCTGGTTACGGCCCTGTTCACAACCACTGGTCAAGCTTCATTCCCATATAGATATGCATATCAATTTCCTGCTAGTTGCACCTGTCTTCTCAGTTCTCACGTGCAAAAGCTGCCACCCAATGCGGCGCGTTGCCACGCTTGTCCGCAACAAACCTCGCAAATATTTTGACCCGGGCGTCCTTCTGACGAGATGGTTGCACACGGGACAAGAGGATCACCCGGTGCCAGACCTCAATCTTTCATTTCATTTTAAATGCTGACCCGCATTTGCCCCTGGTCGCCTAGAGAAAAAAGGAAAACGAAGGAACAGGTTTTCCCCCAAGGTAGATCACACGGGGGAAGGTTCCCCGGGAGTAGATTGCTTAGGGAGTAGGTGTTCCTAGGGGTAAGACTGCATAAACAATAAATTTCCACAAGAATAATCAAAAAGGGAAATGCATCTGCTATCCCCTAGGCTAGGGGATAGCACCGCGCATTAAGATTCCCTAATAATTAAAGAGGGAAATGTTTTTCCTAGGAGTAGCACAACACAAGGAGAGGTTTTCTTTAAGAGAAAAGGTACATAGGTAAAGTTTTTCCCCAGGGAACAGGACAGAGAAGCATCAGGGCCAAGGAACCGGACAAGGAAGCATCAGGGCCGGGCACACTCACCGCCTTGAGCGTGATGCCCCCTCGAATCTGGTCAAGCAGGGCGCCCCGGGAGTCTGGGTTGCTGTTTGTGCTGTGCGTAGACTCCGTCTCGGGGTCCACGTGCTGCGCAGGGTGCGACGCATGCTCAGACATTCGCCCCGAGCGAATGAGACCGACGCAGCGCTCGCGCAAGGCCAACCAGGTGAAACAAAGCTCACACACATTCAGTAACTTCCAAGTCGTAACAGGCAATCTCGCCTTTTTCGAGACAAATTTAGGCTTGAAGACACACGCGTGTTACGAGTCAACTCCAAGTTCCAAAGTTGGCAAAAAAAAAGAAAGGTATGTAACAAAGAACCCAAACACCCACAAAATAAAACTTTAAAAGCGTGTGGAATATTTTGAACGGAGCTATAAAATTTAGATCAGTAACCCCAATAGATTTGGTTGTCAAAGACCTTCGAAAACACTGGCCTCGCTTCATTCCACAGAAGGTGACGATGTAAGGGTATCCTGTTTTGTAGAAGAGTAGGGAATGCGCTTAGCGTCTCACATTAGGCTAGCTGTGCTTATTATTAATTAACTCGTTCTTTCCTGTGTCGGGTTCAGCCACATACCACACCCGCTTGCTTACATTTGTACGATCGACTTGATTCCCTTAAGGGTGTTTGCCCCACCAGTGCTGACAATAAATTCCAGACCTTGTCAAACCTCACTCACAATGCAGCCACACCCTACATAGTCCAAGCAGCCTGCAACTTTTGTTCCAAGCTCTCGCCGACCCCAGTTGATGTGACGTCTTATTGCAATTCACATGAAGTGTCAAGGCTGGTTCACAGACTAGCCACTGCTTACAACCGTGCACCATCTCTTGCGACAAGCGAACACACTGGCGCCATCTATTGGGTAGCCATAAAACACTCGCAGTAGCTGTACATTTCCCGTTTTGTTTCGCGCGGCTGTGTTCCAAATCTTACCCATATGGATCTGAATTACTCCAACAGGTAGCGTCACGTGACAGCACAAATCGAAGAACGCTGGCCACGGGTGGGTTTTGGAATGCCGAGGTACAAAACCCTTACCCTGGAGCAAGATTGAGTAAATTTTAGAACAGAACCTCTTTCTTTCTTAGCTCGAAAGACTTTTGACAATGTTATACCATCTCTCGCACATGTACGCACATTTGATCTCTCAGACTGCAAAACCTTTGCTCTAGTGAAATGCAGCTCCAAGGTCACCTCATAGATGGTGCCAGCATGCCAGTGTGTTCTTGTCGCAAGAGATTGCAAGAGCTCTGTCCTAAGCAAACGCAAGTGTGGAAACAAGCCTCCAGTTAGGTAGTTTACTGCGCAATCTGCACTCTAAGCTACTGCCTTGTCTAGTGTAAATCCAAAGTGGTCTCCCTTGCCCGGGAAAAAAAGAGAAAGCTAATAAGTCATTTCTGACAATCAAAAAAATTCATCTTGGCAATTGTGAGTTTAAGGACCATAATCTTCATGTTTATGGTGGGACCTGCAGATTCTGAGGCCACCTTCACAATGCTAAAAACATTATGCGCAACACTAAGTGTCAGATATGGAACTTGTCACTCGAGGCTTGGAGTGCAATGAAGCAAACTTGGTACTTCTCTGCCATGCACTCCCCCAAACTAGCTGGCTGTAGTTAAAGTACAAAAGGGAGCTGCAAATCGGTAACAAGAGTACATTGTAATAGCACTAAAAAGCAGGAAAACTTATTAGTACAGTATACCAACAATATTCCCTACAAAATATTCTTCTAAAGAGAACTCCCAGGCTTTTGACTGAGGGTTCCAAAACTGAGGCTCGAATCTCGAGGTTGCCCTCACTGTTGTCCTTCCGATTTTCAGGCCCAGGAAGTCTCCGGTTTAGCTGCACTGACGGTCATGCTTGTTGACACCTTATGAAAAGCAGGTGTAGCTAACCATGTTCACGCGTCTTGCTTTGCATCCTTGGGCATTCTAGCCTGCCAACGCCGTCACTGGCTGCGGAGCAGTAACGAGATTCTTGGAACTCGGCACGCCCTACATTTCTTGAGCCGCCCACGGTGAATGCAATGCAATGAAAGAAAGGGAAAGAGATTTCCCTTTCTTTCATTGTCATTCCTAACCAGGTGGATGTCCACCGAAAGGTTTACGTTGAATGCAACACACAACAAATCTCAAGCCAAGTGACCCGGAACTCACGTTGAGCGCCTTGCCCTTGCGTATCTGCTCCAGCAGGGCCGCCTTGGGGTCCGCCCCCGCCCCGCCCCCTATGGGCTCCGCCCTCGGAGCTCCGGGGGGTGGGGGCGCGGATCCGTTGACGGGGCCTCCCATCGGCGGGGGCGGGGGTGGGGGCGGAGCACCGGCTAACCTCGCTCCCACGCTGGGCGGCGGGGGTGGGGGAGGGGGTGGGGCCGCCGGAGAGAAGGCCCCTCCCCTCGCGGGCGGGGCCGTCGTCCTCCCGTTGCTGAGGGGCGTGGCCGGCGCTCGGTTGGGTCCCGTACGTGCCGGGGGAGGGGGTGGTACCATGCGGTGGCCGACCCCGTTGGCTCCGGAGGTGGGCGGGGCCGGGGCCTGGGGGTGTGTCCGGGTGTGGGAATGGGCAGGTTCCCGCATGGGAATGGGAGGAGGAGTGGGCGCGGCTGTGGGTGGGAGAAGAGAAGACAAACAAATTGGGATCAAAAGTCACAAACAGCTAGAAAGCGTCGACATAAATGAAAGGTGACGAGGCAATGAATGGCTGAAGAGACCAAAGATTTAAGGGGACATGCGCCAGGGGAGAATTTCTTTTTTATTATTTATGATATCGAAATGAAATTTGTACAGTTTATGGTGCCTAATCATCTCCTTATAAATCTGGTGTTAGATTTGATATGCGGAATGCAAGTTTGTCTGCTTCTTTCGCAGGGGTTGTGGTGACGTCAGAACGCCTAATAGCTCTGATTGGCTCCGATTGCAAGGATAGTGGGTAGACCTCAAAGCAAGCTGCCTTGAGGTCTACCCGCTATCCGTCAATGAGAGCCAATCAGAGCTCGACGCTCTGACGTCACCACAACCCCTGGAACAGAAGCAGACAAACTTGTGCTCCACATAAGCTCGCTTTTCAGGTTCCCGATGCAATGCACACGCAGAAAAAAAAACATGTCGCTGTGCACACGTGAGGCATAGCTACACACCTATAAAAGCCCAGTGAAATAAACTTATTTGCTGCTTTTAAACCACCAAGTGGAATGAGCAACAAAAAGAATGTGTGAGACACTTCTTTCATTTAAAAAAAAGTCTAAATTAGCAAAAATGCCAAAAAGCAAAAAGATATGTCTGACCAAACCTAGATATTTAAATTCTAAATATCTGAAAGTATATGCATGCCTAATTTTGTTGTAATAGTACAATATTAAGAGCTTCTTGCACATAAACTGTAAAGATGGTCCAAAATAACATAAAAAAATGACCGCATCTGCACGTGCTGAAAGATGTTGATTTGGGCGAAGTTTTGGTGGTGCTAATGATACTGATTTTGTTCATAGGTGGTGCTGATGGTGCAGATTTTTTAAAAATTTTTATTGCTCATAGGTAGTGCTGAGTTCCGGGTTGCGTTTAGATTTCATGAGCCAATGCATGCAAAGTTTAACGCGATTATATACACATTTGACCGCAGCACCCTCTCCTGTATAGACGTTGAGCGGCTACATGCAACGTTTCATCCATGACATCCCCAGCTCTCGAGTTCCTACCACATCTCAGAGCCCCCTACTCGTCCCGCAGTCGTGGCCAAGTGGTTAAGGCGATGGACTAGAAATCCATTGGGGTCTCCCCGCACAAGTTTGAATCCTGTCGACTGCGCAAACATTTTTTCTTTTTTTTAAGAAGACAGATGGGATGGCAATTGATGGGAGCACGGACGCCGGACAAGGCTAGACCCTAAGGGGCTTCGCCCCTAAAAGAAAAATGTGTTCAAAGGTTACCATAGCTGTGTAGTTATACCCTTTCGCAGTGCAGAAAATATTATCTCGTTAATAAATTTCCGTGAGAAATTGAAGCAACAGAAGACTGCAACAGAGAGGAGACGGCTAGGCCTACTTGTCAACATAAATGTGATGACGGATGACGTCGCAACTTGAAGGACCACGCAGAAAAAAAAGGCTCAAATTCATGCCGTTCTCAGGCGCCTGGAGGTCATCAAATTCATATTTGCATAATTTTGCAATCATAACCGGCACTAATTATTTTTCTAAACCAAATATAGAGATTGAAAAAGAGAACCAAGACCAGCATACCATAAGAACCAAGACAGGCATACGAGCAAATCAAGCCAGATCCAAGCAAAATAGCCGACGTGAGACACTAGGCTCAGGCCAGTGCTGCGACGAAAACGAGCACCCGCACAGCACTTCCGAAGGTGCGTACTTGCGACAGTCGCTTGGTGCAAACTACGTCGGTTGAGGAGATCTTCCTCTAAACACGTCGGTGAATGCAAAATGACTAGCACTCATAAAAATGGACGAGCTAAACCAGCTACGCTCATTGAGCACGCTGCAAATGCCAGCAGCCACTTTTATTGTCGTCTGAAAGCAAAACGGTAATAAAGTCTACCTCAGGATAACCTTTTAAACATTAATGACTCATCTAGATTATTTGTTTCTCGAACATAAAAGATATTGTCGATTAAAAAGCTATGATGCCGAGAGAAACAATTTTACAATCAGCATTTGACACGTCAATCATTTCTCTAGCCAATGAGAGATGTAAGCTCGGTGCAAGCACGGGGCAAGGCTTAGCGGGCAGCGACTTCCACCTTCTCCACCTAACTTGTGTCTGGCAACATAAATATTGCTAACATTTTTTTTATTTTTCTTTTGTGGAATATTTAGACCTTCTAAAAAAAATTCATTTCTTCACTTCAGCATTTTTTCAACAAGCGTACCGGTGACTCTAGTCTGAATTGAGCGGGAAAGCCCAAACTGCCGTTAAATTGTACACCAATTCGATTTCTCTTGCTAAATACCTTAAATAACTTTATTTTCCTGGGCTTAACATTTAGCGAATTTTGCAGAATGCAGATTTCGGGAATGCTTGATGGGAACAAAATTTCAGAATTTAGAGTGATGCGCTACGTATTCATTACCATGGGATGGTATATTTGTGCAATTAATTTTTCGCTTTATTTTCGAAGTTGCATATTTCATGAAAATTGAGCCCTCGCAAAAATTAGTTTATTTACGGTAGCTCAAATTAGTTCCAACCAATTTTCCTACCAAACTTAACGAAAAAACTCGAACTGGTTCGCACCAATCCAGGTTTTTCGGCTAAATCTGGCGGGAAAATCGAATCGGCGCACAATTATACCTCAATCAAAGAGTTTTCGTGGTAAATGTAGCAGGAAAATGCTTCCTGAAAAATTTTTGACTCGCGTAAAAAACTAACACGTAACTATGGTGCCTGGATCGCGTCTTTGACTGGTCTGTTTACCGCGGCCAAAAAAGTGGTCCCTCGATTTCCGCCTGATGACGTCATAGAAGTGCCATGCTGTCGCCGGTCGCGACCCTGGTGGCGTCCCAACGGTTATGGTGTATGTAGCAGACGCCTGTTCTGCTGCAGGTCGCTTCCCACTGTGACAGTTCACGGAAGCTGAAGCAGCCGGAAGTTGGGACGCCTAAAGGGACGCCGTGACGAAAGCGACACTTGCGTTCGCTCGTGCTTTTCGCCAGCATTTCTACGGCCGACCGCCAGGATCGCGACAGGCAACAGCATGACACTCGCGTCATTTGTTGCCACATTGGGACCACTTTTGATGTATGGGCGGGATAGGACGCTAAACACACCAGTCGAAGATGCGCTCCAGGCACCATAACGTAACGCATAACTGGGCGAGATCGTTCCGCACAACTCAGCCCATTGTTACCAAACTACCTCAGTTGTGCAACTCCCACGGAAGGGGGCACCCCCTAGATTCTCGTTTCATAATTGTGCGTTCCATAGAGCAGAGCTGAAGCGCCATCTAGACGCCATGCTTTGAAATGTATGTATGCCATAGAACACACTGCAGTTACCAAAGCAGCCGTCCGGCGCCTCGAACGACGGGAGGAGAGTCGTGGTGAGTGAGGGGGGTACTGCCAGTGCAAGCGGTGTTTATGAGCAGTTGCGTAACTGAGCCAATCCAATAACGTTGGCTCGGCCGCACGACGGAGACGCCTTGACGCACCTCTGGCCTCCGTCTTGCCGACGCCTTCCTTGATGACGTCCACGCCGCCGTTGCGCTCTATGAACTCGTAGATGAAGGCCCTCGTCGAGGGCTCCTTCAGGTCCTTCTCGGTCACCATGGCCATCTCGAAGAACCTGGTCAGCTCCGTCTCCTCCACGTAGTTCTGGAACTGCGAAAGAAAGGCGGGTTGCCACACGTGCCGGTCGGAGACGTGTTCCGGGCGCTGCAAACGCGGGTCGGAGCGAAGAAGCGAGCACTTACGTCGAATCCCTTCTCGGGATGCCAACCCACGTGTTGAACGTGCCTGCAAAGACGGAATGGAAGGGCTTAGAAAAAGAAATGGAACCGCAGCCTCGGCTGCCGGAGTGACGACGTCGTAGTCCGGGTATTCTCCCGATTTCGAGGAAGACCGCCCCGCCTCCCCATTATTGCAACGAGACGGTTCGGAAGCCCACAACTTCCTTTAACTCGCCGCATATACTTCCTTTCTCTCCGTAAAACGTACTGTAACCTTTTATTTTAGTAGATAATTTGCGCGAAGATGAAAAATGTTCGCTCTGGCTCCGAACGTTTAATGCTCTCGCTATTAATTCCTGGCCATCCGACGCATCCATTCAGTAGTTCTTTGCCGCGTGCTACCGTTGGAAACATCGAGGAAAACGGACAGCAGCAAGCAACATCTGCGGGTTGAAAGAAGGCATCCTTTAATTTTCGCGCAAAGTGTCTATTTTAAATAAAGTTTATGCATAGTACGATTCATTATCAGAAACGGAAGAGTACACGACCCTTCGCGGTAAAACAAACACGCCTAACCTGTCATCCGCTTTTTTGTGCCTCTCTTTCTCATTCTTTCTCTTCTCACCACCGACGCCAACGCTTACGATTTGCCGCAGCCTGCTCTCGTCTGTACCCCCCTGCAGCTTGAGTGGAGGCGTAGGAAAAGGAGCGAAGCAGCTCCAGTGTTGACACTTACACGAAGTCGGTGGGACAGCTGATGTCAGCCTTGGTGTACTTGCGCTCCTTCTGCTTCTTGGACTTCTTGCCGCCCGACGACTGCTTCTTGCTTACGCTCGAAATACCGTTGGTGCCTGCGCGTGGCAAGATGTTGTCAGCAACCGAACCGGACAGAAGAGCAGCTTTGACACGTTTGAAGCACATAAAGAGTTGCACTATAGCGCAGATTTCGAGCAGTAAAGGCTGGCTGCGACTGCTTACTACAGCGTGCCTTAAAACTGCTCGTACTCTCTACAGCGAGAAAACACGCTGGTGCCATCTATTGGGTAAGACGCTCGCACATTCTATAATTTCCTTTTTTTTTTTTTATGCATCATTTCTTTTTTTTTTTTATTGGCTCGAATATCCTTTGACAATCATCCATCTCTCGTAAATAGTATGTACATTTGATCTAAAAAATACTGCAGAACCTTCGTTCTAATGAAAAGTAGTTACAGGGTCGCTTCGCAGATGGCGCCAGCCTGCCAGTGTGTTCTCTCGGCGTAAGATAATGCGAGAACTTGGCCGTAAGCAAACGTGAGTGTGTGAACGGGCCATAAGGACTGTCTTACGACATAAAGAAAGCAGCCTAGAAGTCCCGAAATATTTATACACTGACTGAGAACAGAATTGCAAATCCAAGAGCCGCGAATGTGCCTAATGCTGTGACCACACATGCTGCGACAAATTTTTGTATCTCAGTGCCAAGTTTCTCTTCTTGATATGCGAAGCGAAACAAGCATCAATAGTGTACAATTCTGGTCACATGCGTCATCTTAAAGGGCAACTCTGCTTCATTTTTATTATTTAGAAAACTATGCAGCCCTCTTCAGTATCATACAGGAAGACCGCATGTCAAATATTACGATCTTATTCCGACTATATATTTATTAAACTGGCCAGCAAACTTTCAAATGAGCCAAGTCGCCGAAATCTGACAACTCTAGAATGCGACGTTTGGCGCAATCATCAGTGTAGTCAATGCCACGGAGTTGGAGCGGCCAACATTGAGCCACTACGTCAGAAACATGTCTATGTCAGTCTCACGTTTTGTTTGTTTTTACTTCTCAGGGCGAAATTGAACGATGACGTCATGAATTTCTCTTCCCGGTGTTGGCTCAATGGCGTCCACGTGATCACCGTAACGCGGATGAGCTAGTTTGCGCTGCCCTGCGTGCTTATCGCTCTGTCCTGTCCATGCTAGATCGCACTTGTTGCGCATGTCCGGTTTCTCCGCTCCCCCTCTCCTCTTTCATCTTCTCCCCTTCCCCCTCTCCCCTGGGCCATCACCGTTCACGCCATCCGAAGCGACCTGCCCGCGCCACGTGTCCTGTCCCTCGCCCCCACGAACGTCACAAGACCACGTGGTTCGACGTGACGTGGCCATGACTGACGACACGAGACCAATGTTGCCTGACGCAACCAAAGTTTCGGTTTCGGTATGAGCTGATGTTTAAATTAAGATTACACAAATAATATTCCACATTTCGCAAATACGAAGACGCACAGCTGTTTAGGAGTCACATGTGAGCCTAAATTTTTCGAAATTGGGCGGAGTTGCCCTTTAACATGTTGTGCGAGAAGTTCTAGCCCCCTTTACTACTTCTGGCATACCACGAGTCATTTGCAACACGATGGTGCAATTGACGTTTAAACGAACTTTCGGGTACTTTATTTGTCTCCTCAGGAGACAAACCAGGTTTTCACAGCATGAACATTTTGATAAACTTAAAGTAGTCATCCTAAATGCACATACGAGTATCATAATTCATACATCTATCCAGAAATCTGCTTTTTTGGTCCGAACCATATTAACATGTACGGTGTAATGTCAAAGAGATCCAAATATGCCAAAAATTAGCTGACTGAAACGTAAAAGAAAAAAAATAGGTGAATGCATCAGGCAGTAAAGTTAGACAAATGGCAAACGGCTCGCAAAAAAACAGGGACAAATTAGAAGTGCACGCAAGACAAGCACTAAGTAAGTTAGAAAAAGTATACGGTTCCAACAATTTGCAAAAATCCTTTACTCTACAAGTGCCCTAGCTGAACTTTAAAAGTTCAGCCAGGGCACTCATCAGCCAAATATGGCACAAAACTATTACCAATACTACTTATTTATGTTCTGCAACTCTGGAAAAAAACAAAAAAACATTGCGTAACTGCATAATACAGACTTAAAACATCAAATAAAGTACAAGTATAGAAGTATGACACTTAGAGAGATTGCCACAACATCTTTAACATACTTAACAAAAATGAAAAGCACTAATGCATAGCACATGAAGAGGTATGTACACTGTGTTACGCTGTTAGCGCAAACACGATGTGGATGCTTTCACGTTTTACTTCAAAAGGACACCGGTAATGTTATAACAGCCATTTCAATTCTAGAAAAAAAACAGAAATTGCTCGTTTTCCCCGACAGTGTTGTAGTGTGTACATTGCCAACATCCAAACAGAGAGGCTGGACACGGAAGTATCGAAAGCACTCTCCGTTATATCAGTAGTTCCATATATTCAGATTCTTTGCAACTTATTTGTTGGGAACAAACCAAAAACAAAGCAAAAAAAAAAAAGACACCTTTCTTTTTTTCTTTGGTGCCACACGAAAAAAGTTGCCTTAAGTTTGCTAGCTCTACTGCACTGTAACTTCCCCCCAATTAATCATTCAGGTGGCATTCAAAACAGTCAATTAATCAATCACCAAACAAATTAATAAACTCACTCGGGCCCATTGGAATCTGGGGGTCGTGCTTGGGCACCGATCCTCCGCTCCGCGCCATCTGGTTTCTTCTTTTCTCTGCGCAATGTGAATAGCGAAAATAAAAACCAATGAGATGAAAGAAACTCTGACCTGATCTCTCATCAGAAAAGACACATTCTCCTCGGTAATTTCAGAGCTACAGCCTTGAAATCTCTACGAACCCAGCAAGTTCCGAGGTACGATCCCCTCCGGACACGAAAGGAGACCCCCACTAGCCTCCCTACTTCCGTACCACGCCTTCACTTTTGTCAGACAAGCTTTTTGTTTGGCGGGAGGCAGACAGGAGATTGCGAAAGAAAGAACAGCTCTGAAGTGGAACTTGGAAAGGAGGAAGGAGCCATTTCTCACATCAGGTGCTTTGAATACTATCTTCTCCCACTTGTCCCCTCAGGAAAAAGGAAGCTTGTGCACAGTTCATACAATGCCGTTGTTTGAGGAAGACAACGATGCATCTTACATTTGAATGTGCGTGTTTTGACGAAATAACAAATAGCTGATCTTATTCGACATGCTAGGACGAAGACATTGTCACAAACGCAGCTGACAAATTTTATTTAGTCGTCTCCACCCTGGCACCCTCTCACTAATTTGCATGCATTGTCTGCTAAACGTCTGGCAATTTACCGAACATCCAAGTATCTTAATTAATTAACGGGTATCTTAATTCAGCAGATAGAGGGGTTAGTATGCTACACGAGGAACCAAGCATTTTTTACTACGGTCCTTGAGGTAAAAACAAGTACATAAAGGTACAATATAAAACATAGTACAGCAATATTATTTAACCACCAACTCGCCCACAACTTTGCAATTCAAGGTCTTCCTCGATCAACTAAAGATTCTTTGCGTTTAAGGAACAAGTTCTTTTCGGCTTATGTTTTATTTTCAGCATACACCGAAGAAGCAGCGGACAGCAAACAAAGCATTGCTTCTCACTGGCATAAACTCGACAGGAACGCGAACATAAATAAAAAAGTGTGGGCTGGCAGGCGACTACGGTAAATGGAACAGCTGCTGCCACACGCAGGTACCTACCTTCCCGCTTTTTCTGCCGGCTGCGCAGTTTCTCTTCGACCGCCCTTTTGAAAGCGGTGGCCTCGTCGTCAAAGGCAAAGTTGAGACCGGCCTGACAGTCCTGCGGGCACCGTGGAGAAGCAAACGATAAACGGAATGTACACGGGGAAAGACTTCGATACGAGAGCTCTCAAAACTGAGCACTTTGACGAACTAGGGAATGAAAATGTTGCATGTAAAAGCAGTTTGCTACATGAGGACCTTCGGTTTCCAGACAACAAACATTGGTCCATGGAACAAAAACACATTCCCCTAGATGTTTTTGTCCCTCATGAAAATACCCCACAGAATTTGGAAGCAAAAAGAGCAGCATGTATTCGCATCTCAAAAACCTTAAACACCAGAGCGACAACAACAAAGAATGCTTTTCTCTCACGGTACTTTCCTAAATTACTTCTTAACCAGCCTGTGAGCATCTCAACCAAGAAAGAAAGCTAGCTGCAGGCATTCTTTTCAGTGCCGAAGCTAACCGTCCAGCTTAATAAAAATGGGTGTCCTTTTACTTTAGAGAATCTGCTTTTGAAAGCATATGGGAAAATTACAGCAAAGAACACCTATGAGATGTCTGTTAAGAGAATAAACCTCGACTGAAGTTGCCAACAAAGTGAGAAAACTGATGTCACGATTCTCCTTCACATAGTTTGCATGGCAGTCTACAGAAACTGGTGTACTCCTTTGTACCTCAACGTTTGTTTATGAAATCTATGTTTAGTACTTCTTCCAGGAACCAATGGGTTCTCACTTTTTAGGTCTCAATAGGTATATGAATACACTTATCTTACAGATCCTTGACCTAAAATATGCATGAACAGCAACATTTTAAAAGTTGCACAACGAACAGTGTACAAAAGAACACTATTGTCCCGGACCGCAATTCACCATTAAAAGTGTTGCGGAAAGGCAGCAAACCCAAATCTTGCCAAAGGCGAGGACAGCCAAAGAAAAGGTGGCACTCACGTCGGCCTCAAAGGTGTGGAAGTAAGGAAGCTGGGCATTGTACGAGAACTCGAGGAACAGCTCCTGCTCCCAGGCAAACTCGCTTCTCTGCAAGGCAAAGCACTTGAGGTGAGGGGCTTGTGCACCAGTCACGTCCAGTCAACACGGGAAAACAATCGCAGCCAGTCCTTGATGCACCAGTTTCGACAAAACAGAGCAGTCTATAAATGTCTATGTTTGTTCACCCCAATTGCCCCCCAAAAAAATAAAAGAAAGAAGCAAACAAAAAGACGAGAAATTTAGGCAGTCCAATACAACTGCTAAACTAGGACACACACCAACTCTGTTACGTCACGCCGCAGTGGCGGCACTTTGGGTGCACTTCCGGTCTAAAATTTGTGGGCAGAAGTCGCCACGTGGGGACGGGCATTACTGTGTTTTGGAAAAAACCAGAACCTGTCTCCTTGTTTAAACACTGCGACTAGGGCTGCACTAAAAGAGCTGGGAAAAGTGTGAAGATCAGTTTTTCTGTGTTTTCTGCCTGCTCAGTTCGTTGGAGAACGTGGATAGGTGCCGTGAAAGGGAAAAACCAGACACCGTCAAACCACGACTGCTGGTGTGGAAAGCACTTTGGGTTGAATTCACAGATACTTGTGGTCGCCAGAGTTAATTGTCTCGTTCCAACATGAACGCAGGAAAACCGTCAAGTTATCCAGACCACCTGTGGACCACGTTCAGTGCGTCTTCACATTCAAACGGCCGTCTGATCGATCAAACTGTCATCAGCTCACAACGGCAGCCAGTAGACTAAACATTGCAATAAGAAGTAAATGGAGGCCCCAAGACTTAAGTTAGAAAGTTGCTGGGGTTAAGTAGGCTCGGTGCAAACAGTAGATACAAGGAGAAGTTGATCATTGTTACCAGCGGGCATCACCGACTTGTTATGCCTGATTCACTTGGTCTGACTGTGCTTGCCATTCTCAGTATCAAAGTCAACCATCTCAGCTACGGTTCACGCTTTTGCAGCTTGAGTGACGTCGCGACTGAAAATCGCGAGCAGAATCTCATCATGTGAATCGGGCATTGGCATACAATTTGCGGCAGTTTTGCAGTGTAATGAGCCCCGTTAATTTCGCTCAAACCACTAAATTAGCGAGACATTGAATCAACAAGAGACATGGCACGAGACAACACAACTAAACCTTCCCTGTCATTCGTACAAATGCCGCTGTGGCTCTTCGTCGACTCCATCACCGAACGTACCAATAAAGCAAGCGCAAGTTGGTAAGGATCCACGAATGACACGAGACATCTGGGATTGGTCCCTCTTCCAGCCACCATCGATGACAACAACCAATGAAGTGCTACTTAAGGACCGCAGCCTTCAGAGGGCATGGCAACGTGGCAAGAGACAACGTGGCTAAACCCTTGCTGTTGTTTGTAAAGGTTAGTCCTCAACCTGACCTATCTTATTTTGAAAGTGATTTTAGGCGTTTGATTGTCCTGCCGTGCCCTTGGAAGAGTCGCGAAATTGTTGAGGAGTGCTGTAATGCGGTTTCATTGCTACTCTCGGGCAACATCGACATTAACCCGGGCCTACACACAGCATAGGGGGGCAATCTTTTGGTGAAAGTATACCCCACTGTACAAAATCTCCAGACCGGACAGGACACGATTTTGGGTACAGTGGAAGAGCTAAAAGAAGAACACAAAAAAATTAATCAAAAGTCCCGAGCAGCGTGTTCTAAAACTAGAAAGCGCAACTTGTGCACTAGAAATCAATATCAACGAGCAAGTTTCTACTTTGCAGAATGAAACAGGCGGAAAAGTTTGTACTTTACAGAATGAAATATCCGGTCTGAAAATAAGATACATAGACGCAGAGGCTCGGTCGCGTAGATAAAATCTGCTGTTTTTCGGAATCAACAACACCAAAAAAGAAACTTGGGCAGAATAAGTGGAACATGTACGAAAACTTTGCCTCGATAAACTAGGGGTGGAAATTTAGTCACCTGAAATTGAAAGAGACCATCACCTTGGCCGTTTGTGTTCAGATAAAAAGGACCCCATTATCGCGTGTTTCTTCGAACAGAAAGCAGCTGTCTTATCGTTGGTCTATAAGCTAAAAGATAGCGGTATATCTATCAGCGAGTATTTTCTATTTGATGTTCGTTATGCTCGAAGAAGACTTCTAGGTTTTGCTAAAGGGCAGACGAACCGATATAAACTATGGTATGATAAGTTGATCACTGGCGACTCTGTCTACATCTGCGATGCTTCTGCTAATCACATTAGACTGCTCGAACAACATGTGACACCAGTTCCACAGTTCTCCCAACGGTCACATTTCCTTCTTGGAAGAAGTGAAAAGCCATACGCTGACTCCTGTACGTGATAACGACAGAATTGTTCTTGCTGGAGATATCGGTCTTCCCCATATAAATTGGAAATGCCTGTCGGCGGGATCACCGGACTGTGAAAGCTCCGAGTGTTTAATAGGTATTGCATTTATATTTGACCTAGATCAGCTCATTTTATCACCAACGAGAATTCAAGATGTACCGGAATCAATCCTTGATTTGATTTTTTTAGCCATGAACTTTCGAATTCATCTGAGGTTTCTATCAAAGAAGGGCTAAAAGATCACAAAAGCATACTTCTAATGCTTCTTTCCATTCAAACCAGTCCAGTAAAAACCAAAAAATAAACAAAACATATTTGATTTTAACAAAGCAGATGATAACTCTATCGTTGACATTCTAGGAGAAAATTGTGACGGGTTCGTCTCGCTCTCCTGTGGCCCAAATACAGATCTCCACACGCTTTGGAATAAATTCAAGGTCATTATAGACGAGTGTATTAATAACCGTTTTGTTCCTAAAAGGATTATAAATCCAGGCAAAACAAGTCCTTGGATCACTTGAGAGATCATACAATTAGGCAGAAAAACTAATAGATAAAGGAAAGCTTGCAAAAGGGCACAGTCAAACCAACCGTCTCACACTGTCAAACATCTTGTCATGAAACACAAAGGTAAAATTAAGCGTGCTAAATTTCAGTACCATAATACGAACCCTCGTCAACCTCATAAAAACGTCACCTGCAAAGTTTTGGCATCACATTTCGCCAAAACGTGCTTCCCCAAATAGTTATCCCGTCGACGGTACCTTTACTCGGGATAGCAGCAGCTTTTAATACATACTTTTCTTGTTTTTTCCATTGATAATGGTGAGGCTCCTAGTTTTTTGCACTGTAATCATGACGCTTCCTTGAGCAATCTTGCGATATCAGAAGGTGTTCTGAATTTATTAATCAAATTGGATTGCAACAAACCCCAAGGACCCGACATACTATCCAACACATTCTTAAAGCAGTTATGCAGCACGGATAGCAAAATATTTGTGCGTAATTTTTGAAAAATCTTTTTCAAATGCAGACTTATGACAGCCAGTTCACAAAAAGGGCAAAGAAACAGATTTGTCAAACTATAGTCCTATTTCAATAACATCCCAAGTTTGTAAAATACTCAGACGTATAGTAATTAGGAAACACATCACTAGCCTTTTAGACCAACATCAAATAATCAAATACTAAGTCTGCACTAACACGGATTTAGAAAGGGCTATTCGACAACAACGCAACTCTTACTTACGGTTCATGATTTTGCTTCCGCACTCAATAAAAAAAAAAAAAGAAGAAAAAAGGGTGGATGTTAAATTTCTAGATTTGGCCGAGGCTTTTCATGTTGTCTCGTATAGTAAACTGTTACAAAAGCGTTATACTATGTTAAAAAATGACCGAACCATAAATTGGCTGCCCGCATTCCAGAAAAAGAGGCTGCAATTTGTTTCTTTTGGTGGTTCTGCTTTGAATAGACGCAGTGTCACATGTTCCCCTTATGACCAGCGTAAACATCTGTCTCTCCAAGGTCGCCAGCTGGTGCAAGACCTGGCAGATAAATTTGAACCCCTCCAAGTGAGTAACAGTGCCCTTAACACTAAAGAAATCCCCTTACTTTTTCGGTTAAGCATAGACGGGCATACACTCAGCAACATCTCAGAGTACAAGTATTTGGGAGTCGACATTACGAATAACTTGGCCCGGAACTCCCACATTGACTCTCTTATTTCAAAAGCTAAGAACAAACTTTGGCAACTAAAACTATCACTCAAATTCACAACCGCCGAACCTCAATTAGGCCCACACTGGAATATGCACGCGTCGTCTGGGACCTTTACACAGCCATCAATATAAATAAAGTGGAAATGGTGCAAAGAAAGGAGTCAACATTTATTTTTAATAAATAAGGACGGTATGATTCGCTGACATCATTAATGGAACAAACAGACCCGACTCCACTTTCTCACCGCGCGAGAATTAACAGGATTAAAACCCTCTTTCAGATCATTACGGGAAGTCTTCATATCAAGACAAACAACATATTTGGCTTTTCTATCAGAACAAACTCTAAAGCTTCACATCCAAGATATATAAACAATTTCCAGAATCGCATAAATCGCTTTAAGAACTTGTCTTTTCCTCAAACTATATCCGATTGGAATAACCTTCACTCCAGCATCCCTAATTCAGATTCACTCTAAAATTCCCTGCACCAACTGGCCACCTCGTAGCAAGCGACTTGCATCATCACATCAAAATGTATTAATTTACAGATTTTGTAACCCTTTCCCACAATACCTCTGTACGGGGTAGTAGTACCGTAAAATAAATAAAAAATAAAATAAGCTTGAACGCGAACAAAAGCACAGGCACTTGTTCATGCGGGATGAGACACTTCTTGCCCACACTCCATTGCGCATGCATGGCGCCGACAGCGTGCCGCTAGGGGTGCTCCAGTTTGTTTGTAAACACGAGTTGGTGTCCCGAAATGGCGACAAATTATGCCGGCGTGTAGCGCTGTCGGATGTCGCGACACTGGCAATTGGTCGTACAAGTTCGCGGAAAAAAAAAAAAAAGATTGATTGCGAGCGTTGCCATTGTTGAGGCGTCCCAACTCCTGGCAGCCGAATCTACCGTGGACTGTCCAACTATAGGACAACCTGCAGCAGAACAGGCGTCTCCCACACCTGTCTCCGCTGCTATGCTCCCGCCAGGATCGCAGCCGGCAGCAGTGCGATTGGACGTGGCGCCACAGCATGCGCATAATCAACCAAGGAGGCATTTTGGACCCCTTTGCGAGTACGCAATCGGGCAATATCTTGCTGAGAACGTCTCAATGACGTACAAATAGTGAGAAAGGTCAAGCAGCCTCTCGTGCGCTTGTCTTTGGCACTCCTTCGTTAGATGTCAGCTTATGTACAGCAGAGGAACTTAAGCTTTGCAAACGAAGTGGGGGTTGTCAATGGCTCCTAAAGCGAGATAGCCGACGATATCAATTTCAGCCCGCATCCAATCTCACTTTACCGCGGTACCCTGCTCGCAGCAGATAACCAATTTTATTTTCTGTATGATAATAGATGACGTAAGGAGTTTTCTCTATTCATTCCCGTCTGTGAAGGGCGCTCCAGAACAGGCGAGCCGTGTTCGTCGCACCAGTTAGCAGACGAACCACATATAAACGCCATCTTCACTCACTCCGATAGAGGTAAATTAGACCTCGCTCTCGCGTTGAACAAAAACCGGACCACGCGAGTCTTTCACATGCTTCATGCAGCGGGAAGGACGCCGGCCGTTTGCACAAAACAGCCGGACGAACGTTGTGCACGGACTCACGTCAAAGTCGAAGACCCTGATGAAGAAAGCGCGTGCGGCGTTGTCCTTGATGAAGCAGACCACACCGCAGCAGAACCTGCACCACCGGTCATGCCGAGGGGGCGGTCCAGACCGGTACACTTCGGCAATGCCCAGAGCCAATACCTGCAGCACAACCGCAAGTCCATGATTTTATGAACAGTCTCGGCAACAATCGTCTGCAGCCTCTACAGGGTGTTTCGGAGCGCTGTTTGGACAGGAAAAAATCCACATAAAATATCCAATATCCTGAGTGCAATTAAACTTATCTCAAAGGTGTCTTTAGGGGGTGCATTTATAATACTAAAATTTTGTGGGTGTAGGTTCCTGGAAAAATATGCAAGAAAAGAAAAACTTGTTTCCTGTGTGCGGGAAAAAAACTGGAGCAAACTGTCGGGTTGGCGCCCCAACTCACATGTGGCATTACATGGTACAAAAACTTCAGCTTCTTAGAGATGAACACCCTGAAGCAGATCCAGCAGACAGAGCGTCAAGCACACAGTTTGTTTCCCTAGTTTTCTTTTCTGGCATCTTTTTCCAAAAACGTACACTCACAAAATATGAGTTTGATAAATGCGCCACCTAAAGACACCCTTGTGAAAATTCTCATTGAAGTCCAATTATTGCCGTATTTATAATTTTTTTTTATGCCCAAATAACCGCTTGCATACACTCTGTAGAAGCACAGCTCTGAGTATGGGAATATAAAAAGACATTGGGGTGTATGCATGTTTATACAGCCTAAAACTTAGTCTGCCTCAACGTGCAACTTGTCTGCCAGCTGTAGATGAGCAATTTAGCCAGTGCAGTACAACTGCTAGCTTGGGGTCTTTAACGTGAACCACGCAGTAGTGATACATGACCGCACGCCGGTACGATGCTATGGGCATATAAAGGGAACTGACAAGGTGTTTACGCTTGCCGAGACTTTCTTTTTACTAGAACAAAATCTATGAAGGCCCCAAAGTACCCCCCAGAAAATGCTTGCCTCGAAATCAGTTTTCTTTCTTTTTTGCACAAAATATTTCCAGTCGAGATTCGTGTGTTTGAGGGTGGTTCTTGTCCTCCTTTGCTTCCTTATGTGTGAGGTGACGACAAAGAAACCTGAATGTTATTTTAGTTCAGGGTTGAAACTCATTGAAACAATGAAATGCAACTCTTCTGACAGCTGAAACATCATAAATATGTTTATTGAAAAAACTCTGAGGGCAGACCCCAAAGATGCGGTTCTCCAGTCAAAGAAATTTTCAACAGTGTCTCGACACCATAATGTACTGTACTGCGCAAAAGGAGCAGTCTATAAAAAAAAATTACACCTTTCGACCTTGCTTTACAGTATGATTGCTAATGTGGAACACATAATGTTCCTCATGCAGTATTAGTTATTCCATGAATGCATACCTGTCCCACTGAGGCTGGCAAAAGCGGGAATCACCGAATATTACGCAACAGAAACCTTCGCTTCACGTGTTGCAAGCTGCGGTATGCTGCGGTCTTTTTAACGAAGTCCGGCTCGTGGCCCGCTTCCAGCAAGCCCGCTGCTACAGATGCAAAAGTGCACTTAAAGAAACAGCGCCGCAACGGAAACAAAGATGCAAGAAAAAAAAAAGAAGAGAAACTGCCGATTGTAAGGCCTGTCATCTGATCATATTATTCACTGGACATTGTCGTCACCATTCCTAGTCCTGTTTCATAAATATGTATGTTAAAATTCCTTTATTGTGCTTAGAGTCCTTTTTTCGTATCTACTGCATAGTGGAAACCTCAGTTCTATCATTCTCCCTAGCCTTCTGCCTCGTGTGTACATGCCAAAGTTCCTAAGGGGTGGGATGGGTGGTGGTGCAGGCAATGAAACAATTTATACCTACGCACTCAATAACCTTTCATAAACGATAGCAGGACATAAAATAATGCAGTCAGCAAAAATAACTGCCTTTACCAACTACACATTGATTTCTAAACAAACATCCTCATGAAAATCCAACAACCTTATGTTTCTAGTCAAGAAAGAAAACAGGATGTTCATGTGCATGCAGTAAGGATAGATCCACCCTGCAACCTTTTTACGTGCTCCTTTGTTACTTTTATCTATATGAGGAGAGATCGGACCAACCTTTCTCCCCCTGCTCACTGTTGTGACAAAGACAGCAACTGACAGCTTTCATATGTCATTCGCGCAGGCGGTTACGCCTCATGCAAAACAAGCAGCTGCCGATGCAGTAAACAAAATACCTCGTTCAGATTCACTTCTATCTCAAGCTCGGGCATTTGAGCGCTCCGATGCCACGCTTGTGTCCAATTGTTGCGAGATCGGGACTGCCCGGAAATGCCTCGTTTTGCCACCTGCCGTGCTGTAGACAATCTGCTCAAATATGGTTTCGACCGAATACCAGGGTGCCTGAACATGTACCCGTCCACCTCAAAAAGGCGACATGACAGCAGTATGAATCACAACCAACGAGATAGAGGGGCTTGGAGCGATAAAAGGACAGCTGAAAGCGACCCTCAATTGGCCGCCGCAATGTTGCAAATTTTTTACCACTAGACACATGACCTTATAGTTTTACGTCTAGATTTTAACGAAGTACTGCCCATAAATAATTCCTTATTGGTCTTTAATAACAGTACCGATGAGATAAGTTATGTTTCGTTGGTTTTAAGTCTAAAATGTGCTTTTACGACAAAAACACAGGCAGCTTGGCAATGGCTCCGCTAGATGCCATCAGTCACGGTGCTGTATTTTGGGTTTTTATCGGAGCTAAACACCAATCTCTGGGGCTAACAGTATTGAAAACTAAAATAGTTTATCATGTTTTTTACTGCGATCACAACACATATCTCGGCTCAGTTTTGCGTAATACCTCCACATTCGGTAGGGTCACATGTCTAGTGATCAAAAGGGGGGGGGGGGGGGGTCACTTCTGTCTGGTGAACGGGATAATGGTTCATCACTCTAAGCCCCCCATACATCGTTGGTCAGAACACTTGTGTTTTTTCTCTCCAAAACATTTGAAAGAGTGTCTCAAAAAGAAGCTGAAGGTTTTTAAGAAATCTGAGATAGAAGCAGACTTCTATTGCATTTTGTATTGTAAATTCAATTATTACACTTAACTTCGGCAGAAGTAAACGTAAACCGCATTCATATTGAAAATTATGTTCAGCAATTGCCGCAAAGCATGCAGCAAGCCTCCCTGCCGCCTGTTCTCTGTCCAAAGCATCGCGACAACATCGTCGACGACCACGTCAGTTTTGTTGGTTCTCTACGCTCTCACGCTCGGCGTGCTGCAACAGGCAGGGCAACGTCGAAATTGGAATTGGAATCTACGACGCTACTACTAATCAGATGGAAAGAAAACTTAGGATACAACATTTTTAAAATGCCTATATGAAAACTCCCAGTTTTTTTTTTTTTTTTTTATTCAAGGACTTTTTTGGCTTCTTTTTAAGCTGCACTAACAATGCTAATGCATCATACAAAAAGCATTCTGCACGCACTGTCTTCCTAGTAAAATGGTTACACAAAAAATTGTTTGCAGACGCGTTTGAAGCATGTAGTTACTACAAACAGGCTTAGAACACGCTCTAGGTGTTCCCGCAGATAATTTTGTCATTATGTCTGCAGCGAGTCTTTCGTATTATCTATGAGCAATGTGAGTGTGGCTTTGGCCCAGGCTGCATTACAACAATGTTTTCTTTCCAGTTGTTTGTTTCTTCATATTGTTCCCGTGACTCCACACCAGAAAAAGGTGACATCACCCATACTGCCTTTCACACAAAGAAGAAAACACCATCAAAGCTACTCGATACTCGCGTGAGCACGTGGCTTCGTTTGGGATTTCCTTCGCACCAGAGTGCTTGCGAGTGAGATGCAAGACGAAGCCATGTGGTTAAGCAGTGGTGTGGGGCTGCAGCACCACAGAAGCTATGCAAGCCTCGGCAACGTCATGCAAAAACGTCTGCCCCATCTTGAGTGTTTGTCCGCATGGCGCATGCTTTCCGAGGTGACGAACACGGACGTGCTAAGCTGCGAAGATCGCATGCTGGACTGCGACTTTGTAAACATTGGAAAGGTCTACAATGCGATCGGGCCTTCAATCCTACAGCGTTGGATGCTGTACCGGTTTCGAGCAAAAGAGGGCGCTTGGGAGCACTATAAGAGTTGATTGTGCTTGGGAGACGCTAGCAATGACACAATGAAAATGAGTTGTTCAATCCCCACCCCTGCCCGTTTCGATCTGGATGAGCATCGTACCGGCGTGCAGTTGTGTATCACTACTGCGTGACGCACGTTAAAGACCCCAGGCTAGCGATTGTATTGGACTGGCTAAATTCCTCATCTACAGCTGGGAGACTCGTTGCCCGTTGAGGCAGACCAAGTTCTAGGCTGTATAAACATACACACAACCCATTTTTTTTTTTGTTTTGTTTTTTAAGGAGTTACGCGACGACAGGGCGGCATCCCTGGGGGAGTGGACAATTCACACAAACGTGAATTTTGCGGGGGCTGAATCACTCATAAGCCGAGGTCACTGGTAATACTTAGTATGAAAGCACAGACTGTTCGAGGCATGTTTGTTCTTTGTATGACAGTCCTGTCACGCTCACCAACTGTCTGCAGACTCGTTCTAAGCGCACATAAGCACGAAGAAATTAGAACGTGCTCGAGGCCTGATCGCGGGTAATGCTGTCATCGAGTAGAACGTACGAGCGTCGCAACTGCCAGCTTCAGCCCCGTGCGCTTCCAAACCCCGCAGAACTCGCGCGCGCCCCTCGCCGCCGAAATCAGGTCGCACACGCGGCGCCTTTAGAGTGACCTTGAGCGCCGTGAGCTCTTTTACATTTCCTGCTAATAGAAGCGAAAGAACTTTTTGAATTCCAGCGAAGGTCACGCGGTCTTCAGAGCGTCGCGCCGCTCGCAGAGGTCACCGACGAATCGAAAGCTTCTTCTCACAAACAACTATGGGTCGGAAAAGCTAACGTCGTACGTTGGGAAAAGGGACGTGCCGACCCAAGCTTTTAATAAAACATAAAAATAATAATAATATTAAAAAAAGAGCGACGTTAGTCAGTAAGAGGGCGCTCAGCTATTCGAACAACGCAAGGTCGAAGCATTCTTTTGCGAAGACGCTACATTGAGTTAGCAGACAACAATTGAAGCAGACGGTGGATATGTTACGACGAAATGGACCCGTATATGAAGCGATCCGAATTCCGTGTTTGTTTCGAACGCGATCGTCAACAAGAGCCGAGCCACCGTTTGGGAAAACAAACAAAAAAAGAAACAGCAAGTAAGCGACAAGGTTCTAACGGATGTTCGTTTCGCACCAACGCGCTAAGACAGACGCCCTTTTAAACTCTGTTTTCTTTTTTATTTTAACGCAGCTACCTGTCCCTCAACTGCCGCGGCGGTAGTGGCGGCTGCGACTGATTTGCGACCCACTTGGACGACGCGTTTTTCCTTTTTTTTTTTCTTGTTTTATTCGCCATTTATTTGGACTTGATTTTTTTTTTTATTTTCTACTTTATTATTGCTCACTTATCCCCTCCTCCCAGCCACAAGGAGTTGACATCGATTCTGAAATGTATTAATTGGAACGCCCGATTCGCCGTAGCCACGTTAGCGATAACTTAATATGAAAAAGTGTTCCGTGCCCTGCTCGAGAGCCCACGGGCACAAAAAAAAGAAAGCTCGTGCCGATAACCCCTTTTATTTGAGCATCCGCAAAGTGTCACCGACGGAGGCAGTACATCAGTTTTCTGAAGTTTTTTTTAATCGTTCGCAGCCCTTTAGCAACTCGAGATGACTAACCGCGGTGACTGATACACCAGCTGCTTGGCGATCAAAGCGGACGCAACTACCACCCCTCTGTTTGAACGAATGTCCAAGGTCTGTCAAGTTCCATCGAATCACAAAGGCAGCGCGTGAAGCCAGGTCTGATAAGGCAGGAGACGGAAAGAAGCAAAAAAAGGTTCGACAAACCTCCCACTTGTGTTCGTAGACGGCGGACGCGAGCGTTTCGTTCTCCTCGGCGGTCAGGTGAACGGATCCTCTGAGTCCGGGCGGCTGGCGACACGTACGAGCTTGCGACATGTCGATTTTCATCGGGTCCAGCCCGAGATGCGGCCGTCGGACATTCTACGATGCGTTATCCGCTCGAAACTGCGCCCAAGGCGCGCAGGAAACGCCACACATCGCAAGACACACTTCACACCGATGGCCGCACAATAAACTTTCTGGCCGAGGAAAAAGCAAAAAAAAAAAAAACGGAGGAACTTTGGGATTGGCTACTGTCGGATTCGTTAAGGATTGTGGGCTAACACTCAGCTATCTGTTTAATGCTAGAGTATGCAAAACAATTAATAGCGCTAAACTCTTTTAAAAAGGCGGCGCCTTCCGCCACCTAGTTGTTGCCGCTAGTAAAGTGCCAACATGAGATCAATATTTTTCAGGTTCTCCAGCAAAAGTAAATATGTTCTTCACATAATTTTTCTTTGTTATTAAAAGAATATTTGCCACTTTGCTCAACACTGAAAGCTTCAATGTTCTCCAAATTCTAATGCCTGTGCGCGCGTGGTTGCTTTTCTATTTGACGGATAGACACTTTTTATTATCCATTTTGAAAGTTTTTGATGCACTAATAGCCTAAAAGTGTATTATTTTGCTGCAAATTTTTTTAACAGTTACGTTTTTGCTTTTTTCTCCGTCTCCGTCTCCACAGAAAGAAGAATTTCGCAATGGCGTTAGTGCCTCAGGTATCCGGCAGATGTTGCTCCGGTAGACGAAAGTGCGTTTCATTCATTGGACGCGTACTTGGACAGTCCTGGCTCGTTTACCTTCGGCGTTGTAAAGTCGCCCGTGTCGTGCCCGTGATTTCGTCCAGAAAGCTTCGCCGTCTGTGGCATGCTAAAGCCTCGAACTGCCAAGGGACCCAAGCCATTTCCCGTGCGAGGTAAGCCGACAAACTTTCGACGGCCGACGCGACCACCGAACCGGCTTTTTTCTTAGGCTTACTGCGGTACCGATCTCGTGTCTCGCGATCAACAAAAAAGAAATGTTGGAGCCAATTTGACAGAACTTGGACCTAATAAGCTCGCGGCCGGGGAGATTATTTTCGGGTCCGACATTGAACCTGCGATGACGAGGTCTTCCCGGTGAAGCCTCAAAAGTTGTACCGCTACGATTTTTCGTTTTTTTCGCGGCAGTTTGACATTTATAGTTCGAGATCGATACAAGATGCGATTCCGATCGCTTGCATCATCTCGACGCTTCTCTCATATTTGGGTGTCACATACCAGTACGTGGACCACTTCAGCGTGCCAAAGAAAAGACGAGAGATAAGTAACATAAAAAGACGAGGTCAACGTCACAATCGTGACGGTCACTCCGCAAGATATGTCGCGACGTCTCAGGACATTGATCTTGCATGCGCGCGCAGACGGTCTCGTTGCACCTTTATCTCGTCTGCCCTCGTCGGGCTGGTCGGGCGCGTTCTAATTTTTGTTGTCTTCGCGGCCCCTGTAAAGAGCACGTAAGCGGTAGCAGTAGTCGGTCGCGAGAACTGTGTGGGAATGCTTTGTTCGTCTCTGCGATGCTGGCCATTGGCACCCTATCAGACGACTTTGTTTCGCCTTTTATAACCTTCAGACCTCCCAAAGAAGAGTTCCTACTCGTCTGGGAAAAGTAAAACAAAATGATTGATTGATGCGCGGAGCGTGCGGCATCGCGTTGCACGGTGACACCTCCGGACGATATGAACATTTTAAATTTTCGGGTTGGCGCCTACACGTAGCGAGTTGGGATTTTAATCGAGACTGTATTTTAGTGGTAAATTTACCGTGAGATTCCGAATGGTGAAGTGCACCTTGTGAAAGGCGCTGCTGTTTCTGTGGAAGGTGACTGCAGGGTACTGAGTCACGTCGTCGGTCTGGCTAGATCCAAGATCTGGCTGGTGCCCTTACCAAAAGGTGGTGCATTAGGGCACTGAAGAAGTATTACTATTAAAGAGCTTAACCTTACTGTTTCGTGTATTAATTAAAAAATACCGTAATATTAGAAAGAAGAACTCGTTAGGTGGCGCAAGTCACCGCCCGCTTTGAACGGATGGATGCATGCGTATGTGTGCACCCATTCATCCAAAAACAGACGACACGCACGCACACACTCGTACACACGTCAACCTTCATCGCCTCTCACCTTCGTGCGCGCGCCTAGCTTCACCGCTTTGCACCTGAGTGCTAGGAGTAGCGGCTAACCTGGGTTAGCGCGATAGGCACAGAAAGTATCAATAAAAAAAAAACAGTGAGTGCGCAGGCGAGCTGGTGGATGTTAATCATGATATAGAAAACCCTAGACTGTGGTAAATAAAGGGAAACTTGGTCGAAGAAGAATGACAGGAGAAAAGAACGTCTCAAACTCAGCTCAGAGCTCAAACTCAGAGCTGAGTTTGAGACGTTCTTTTCCCCTGTCTTTCTTCTTCGACCAAGTCTCCCTGCTTTTACCACAGTCTCGCGTTTTCTACATCGTGATCGATAGAAAGGATGCTCAGCATTATTACAGTTCGGCGTGCGGTCGTGTTTCACTACTGCGTGATGCACGTTACAGACCCCAGGTTAGTGGTTGTACAGCACTGGCTAAGTTTCTCATCTACAGCTTGGAGACATGTCGCCTGTTGAGGTAGACTAAGTTCTGGGCTGTATAAAGATTCACACACCCTAATCTTTTTTTTTTATTATTATTACTACAGTTAATTTTTTGTCTTAATATGATCAATGTCTAGTTTAAAAAAAAAAATGAGAAGGTTGACTTGGCCGCTAAAGAGCGGTGTGTTTTGCGTTGTGTAAAGGCTTTCACCTTTAAAGCACAAGTGTAGGCTTTCATAGTATGTGTGGGCGGTAGTGTTTTGCAGTTTATGATATTAGTATTGTGTTTAGTGGGTGCATGAAACTTGAATGACGCGTTTTTATTGACAGACGTGGTGGCGGATATGCTGGTTCTTGCTGGCATTTTACAGAAATTATATTTACGGACTAAATACACTACCAGGCTTTATCTCAACGGAAGTATTGCGCCATGATTCGTTTTTTTTAACCTTTTCTTGAAGCATAAACATTTTTTTTTAACGAAGTTCCAATTTTTTGTTTATCCGTGCATTTTCCGCTATATTTAGCGGGGAAATTGATGTCACGTGACATCTGTACAAGTTCAGTTTCCCCGCTATATTTAGCGGGGAAACTGAACGTGACGTATACGCAAATTCACTTTCAAATTTCAAATTTCCAAAAACACAGAGCCTTATTTCTGAAAAGAAGGTTTTGTGTTCCTTTTGCGCCCTAGCTGCTCTTATCATAATAGGTAATAAGCAAATGCTCCACTGTCAAAGAGGAACCCTCAATCATTATCGTACATAAACTAATTTAGAGTTGCAATAACTATTTTTTTTTTTTCAAGCGATGTGCTAACATATATGTTGGCACCTGCATGCTCCAAAAGCATCAGTGGGTGCTCCAAACCAATATTTTACCCGCTGAAGAACCTGCTAGGAAATGTCACACGCCGCTTCCATCGCTGCATATTACAAAAATTAAAATAAAAAAAGGATAATATACCATAATTTAGTTATTTGAACGCGACACGGCGTTACGTAGTGTAAATTGAGCGAATTGAAAATTACAGAGCATTGGACAGGCGACGGTGTGAATTCTAGGAGTCGCTAAAGACAAGCTAACAACTTTACCACTCCCCCCCCCCTTTCCAAAAAAAAAAAAGAAAAAAAAAGGGGGGGGGGGGGGGAACGAAAGAAAACTACGGAAGGAATGAACACACACGAGGCAGTTGCTTCCAAAGCAGCTGGGTTTATCCAGCACAAAGCACGGAGCCCATAACGAAAACACGTGTTCAGCCGGAAGCAATTTTCGAAAAGGCCTATAATCGGCAGAGTAGATTGTTGGGCTAGTTGGTTTTGGAACTTGGTATACATTTTAGCGCTTAAAAACTAAGGGCAAAGAGACGGGAAACAGACAGCGCAGTGGGCTACTAACTGCGAAATCAGAAACTCGGATGGATATAAAAGTGTCGTTTCATGTAATAAAATCAGTTGTTAGTAGCGCACTGTGCTGTCTGTTGCTCGTCTCTTTGTCCTTGGCTTTTGAGCGCTAAAATGTATTCCTATAATCGGCGTCAGGTTTTCTGATGTGCGAAGCGTAGCATAGCTCGCGCAGTGCTCGGACGCTGTTAAAGCTCGGCACAAAAGCGCGAACAAAGGAGACTCAAGAGACCTGGAGCAGCGCGAGGCTGCATCAGCGCGGAAGCTGGCCCGTGACGTGACACGGAGAGCTTAGATCGGGGTCCATCTCCAAGATGTCAAATCATGGGGAGCGTTTGCAGTGAGATTGGTCGCAAGTGCGCATGCTCCGCCTTTTTCGCGTAGCGAGGAGGAAAGGAGGAGCCGATTGCAGACGGTCAACGCTTACCTCTTCGCAGCTAGCCTCGCAAATGCGGCCCTTAAACCCTCCTATATAACTCCGATCGAGCAGTTGGGCCCTCAGTGTAATAATACAGGCAGACGTTTCACTCCCCCCCCCCCCCCGGATCTGTTTGGTGCGCACGCGCAGCGCCCACCGGGCACACTCGTCTGTAGACCAGGCCTTCACTGGACGCCATATTTGGGTTCAGAGCGCATGCTCACGACGAGCCCCACCTCCCGAGGACTACCATCTACTCCACGTGCTGTGGGATGCACGTTAGGGAACCGTCGTATACACGAACTCAACTCTGTGACGTCACGGCGCGGTGGTGACGCGTCGGTCGCACTTCCGGTCTGGGGCGGAAGTCCCCATGCCAGACGTGTATTCCTGCGTTGTTTTGAAAGGAACCAGACAAAAACCTGCCTTCTCGTCAAAACGCCGCGACTGGGGCCGCACCAAAAGTGTCGAGAAAGGTTTGAAGGTCAGTTTTCACGTGCTCGGTTCGTCCGAGAATCTGGATATGTACCGTGGAAAGGGAAAAGCAGACGCCGTCGGACAACGATTGCTTGGGCGGGAAGCACTTTGTGTTGAATTCACGGATACTTGTGGTCATCAGATTTATTTGTTTTGTTCCAACATGAACGCCAGAATACCGTCAAGTTCTGTGGACCACCTGCGAACTATGTTCAGTGCGTCTTCAAGTTCAAACGGCCGCCTGATCGTTCGAACTGTCGTCTGCTCTTTCAAACTTTCTGCTTGTCGTCTGCTCTCTTAAATGCCGACAACATCGCATTCCAATGGTTTGTTTATGGGCGACGGCGAGCTTCTTGCCCACACGCGCATG